GTTGGTGCAACACGTGACATGTGACATGTGTGAAACATGTCACATGTCACACGTCTGATATTTGACATGTGACATGTTTGACACATGTCACATGTCACCCCTGGGACATGTGTCACACATATCACATGTCACAGGTGTGTCATAAGACATGTGTCACGCATGTCACATGTCACATGTGTGACATGTGACGTGACATGTGACAGGTGTGAGAAATGTCACATGTCACATGTGTGACATGCAACATACATGTCACGTGTGTGACATGCAACATACATGTCACGTGTGTGACATGCAACACACATGTCACATGTGTGACATGCAACACATGTCACATGTCATGGGTCGAAGGTATGACATTTGACATGTGACATGTATGGTACATGTCACATGTCACATGTGTGACACGTGACATGTGTCAAACATGTCGTGTGTCACACCTGTGACATGTGACATGCATGACACATGTCACATTTCATACGTGTGGTATGTAACGTGTGACATGTGACATGTGTCATGCATATCACATGTGACATGGGACATGTGATGTGTCATGCATGTCACACATGTGACACATGTGACGTGTGACACTTGTGACATGTGTCACACATGGCATAAGTCACATGAGTGACATGTGACATATGACATGTACCTCATGTGTGACCCACGTGTGATATGTGACATGTGACACGTGTGACACATGTCACATGTTACTTGTAACATGGTACATGTGTGACAAATGTCACTTGTCACACGTGTTTCATTTTACATGTGTCACATGTTAAATGTCACACGTGTGATATTTGACATGTGTCACACATGTCACATGTCACATATATGTGACATGCATCGGAACGTTCTGAAGCAGGAAGTGGAAATGTCAGATTGTGAAAAACATCACGGGTGGTGCGCATATGGACGGTCTCAAACAGGCTGTTAAACATGTAGGAGTGAGAAAAAAATCACGGAGTGGGGCGCATCAGCAGGGTCTGAAATAGGCAGTGGAAATGTAGGATTGAGCAAAGCACCATGGGGTGCTTCGCATCGGAAGATTCAGAAACAGGCAGTGGAAATGTAGGTTTCTAAAAACATCATAGGGTGGTGTGCATAGAGAAGTCTGAACCAGATAGTGAGGAGTGAGGAGTGAGAGGAGTGAGGAGTGTAGCAGTGAGACAAAGACCTTGGGTGGTGCATCGGGATTGTGTAAACCAGGCCAGGAAAATGTACGAGTGAGAAAAACACCACGGGGTGGTGCGCACAGGATGTGTCTGATCCAGGCCGAAAAATGTAGAAGTCAGAAAAACACCACGAGGTGGAGACCATCGGGAGGGTCCGAACCAGGCAGTCGAAATGTAGTAGTGAGAAAAACACCACATGGGGGAGCACATAGGAAGAATATGAACCAGGCAGTGGAAATGTAGGATTGAGAAAAACACCATGCGGTAGTGCGCACCATGAGGGTCAGAAATAGGCCGCTAAAATGTAGGAGTGAGAAAAACACCAAGCAGTGGTGCTCATCGGGAGGGTCTCAAAGAGGCCGTTAACATGTAGGAGTGAGCGAAACATCACGGGGTGGTGTGCATCGGGAGGATCTGAAATAGTCAGTGGAAATGTAGGATTGAGAAAAGCACCACTGGGTGGTTCTCATCGGGAGGTTCCAAAACAGGCAGTGGAAATGTAGGTTTCTAAAAAATATCACGGGGTGGTGCGCATAGGGAAGCCTGAACAAGATCGAGAAAATCTAGGAGTGAAAAAAAGACCACTTGGTGGTGCGCATTGGGATGTTGTGAATCAGGCAGGAAAAATATACGAGTGAGAAAAACACCACATGTTGTTGCGCATCAGAAGGGTCTGAAACAGGCTGGGAAAATGTACCACTGAGAAAAATCCCCATGGGTTGGTGTAACATGTGACATGTGACGTGTGCCACATGTCACCTGTCACAGTCTGATATTTGATATGTGACATGTTTGACACATCACATGTCACAGTGTGATATGTGACATGACATGTGTCACACCTGTCAATATGACAGGTGTGACACATGTCACATGTCACAGGTCACAGGTGTGGCATGACATGTGACATGTATGAGATATGTCACATATCATGCGTGTGATGCGTCACATGTCACACGTGTGACATGTGACATACGTGTGACATGACATGTGTGACACATGTCAAATGTCACATGTGATGTTACATGTGTGACACCTATCACATGTCACACCTGTTTCTTTTTACATGTGTCACACGTGTGATGTGTGACATGTCACACATGTGTGACACCCATCGGAAGGGTCTGAAGCAGGCAGCGGAAATGTAGGATTGTGAAAAACATCACGGGGTGGTGCGCATCGGGAGGCTCTGAGCCAAGCAGTGGAAATGTAGAAGTGTGAAAAACACCACGGGGTGGTGTGCATCGGGAATGTCTGAACCAGGCCGAGAAAATGTAGGAGTGAGAAAAACACCACGGGGTTGGTTTGGATCGGGAGAGTTGTAACCAGGCCGGGATAATTTCCAACTGAGAAAAACACTACGGGATGGTGCTCATCAGGAGTTTAGATATGTCATACTCTCATTTTTCTCCCAGGGAGAGAAAACCAACATTTTCGCAATGAAGCCAGGAAAAAGGAGTCATTCTTTGAGTATAAAAGTTTTAATATCATGGAAAATATTTCTTTCACAACCCTTTGGAAAATGGCCACTACTGGGAATTTTTAACATTTCATATTTTTACAACCACTTTATAAACAGTTTTAAATAAAAGTACTAGTTAATAGAAAATATTTGCAAGTTTTTAGTTTTCTATGGATTTATGTCAACTATTATTTTCTATTTGCATGTGTAAATTAACTACATCAGTTATTAAGACAGAACTTCTAACCAAAGACTCTTGATAATACTATAAAATTGTTTCTCACGGAAGAATTTTTTAAAATCAATTCATCTATTATATGCTATATATTAAGAGATCAAAAAGAAAAAAATCCTAGAAACATTAAAAATATGTGTATTGAAGGTGAATGATTGACATCTTTCCTGTGATACTCTCTAAACCATAGCAACTTCATCAGTAAATAAAAACATAGAAAATCACATATATACCACCCTGATAATTTCAGATAATTCCAGAGAATACAACATTTTTGAAATTCCAGAAGTTTGTAAAAATGCACTTTTACAAAAAAACTTGAAAAACAAGCAACAATGATTATTAACTACATTTCCAGATTATTTATTTATATATACTTTTTATACACACACTTTTTTTATAAAGAAAATGCTTTTGCTTTTAACACTTCTGATAAAATGCTTCTAAACTATTTTGGTAACCCTCATCTCAATGACAGTCAGATATGAGATAAAAACAGCTATCTAATTTAACTAGCTATTTAATATTTTCTTAGTACTTACCTCTCTTTCTATGAGATGATGCCAAATCCAAATCAACATTTCTTCTGCCACTCTATTAAAAGTACAAAGTAAATAAAATTTTGTCATGGAAAGTACTTTAAGATTAAGACTTAATACTAGAATAAGAAATAACTCATTTAATTAAAGCAATTCACTCATTCATCAATCAAGTCAAACTAGCAACAAAATATGTCTAAATACTCACCAGAGCATAAGCACATAATTCCTGAGATACTAACTCAAGCAAAAAAAATAAACGTGCACATCAATTAACATAGTACAGGATCAAATGGTTTTTTCTTATTACTTTTCTTCCTTTGGAAACTTTGTCTTTCCTCTTCCAGTTACACTATGATCTCATATTAATACTCTCTAAATATTATAACAAGTTTTTTAAAACATTAAAATAGAGAAATTTCAAATTGGTGAAATACATACACACCAATTAATAAAACAGTGAGTTTTTCAGGAATACAAGTATATTTCTCTATATATCTCGTAGTACAGGGTGTAAAAAAACTGTTCATTCTACTCCTATGTGTAATCAATCACTAAACAATATGATTTAAGTTTATAAATTTGACAGTTATGGTCTTAACAATTTTAATTATACTCTTTTACAATAGAAAAGCTGGTGTCAAAGTGGTAAGACTACAGAAAAGACAAAATAAATATATTTGGGAAATATCACTGAAGAAAATCTTCACATATACAGACACATATCCACATGAAGACATTTTGTTTTGATACCCTCTGCTCACACATACATTAACAGAAATAAGTATGTTCTCATTTTATGCACAATACATCAAACAGCTCAATTAATAGCTCCTGAAGAGATCACTGTGTCACTAAAAAAATTTTTTTTTGCCGGGGATACAGCTCACTGGTGAGAGTGCTTGCCTAGCATAGGCAAGGTCTTGGATTCAATCCCTAGTACTTTAAAAAAATTTTTATCAATATAGTACTTTTTCTCATATAACAAATTAGTCTTAGGACTCAAAGCTAAAAATATTCATTTCCCTTAAACAACTGGGTTATGTCAGGCATGGTGTTAATCCCAGCACTCAGGAGGCTGAGGCAGAGGACTGCCATGAGTTGGAGATCAGCCTGGGCTACACAGTGAGGCTAGGTCAGCGTAAACTACATAGTGAAACCCTGTCTCAGAAAAAGAAAAACAAAACAAACGAATTTTAAAAACTGCTATTCTTTCAGATGCCATGTGGCACACAGCATTATACTTGTCCTGTCTGGTGTTCCCGCTTCCAGCAGAACACCATGGCATCTATATGAGATGTGCAAATCTTACCCAGGGCTTTGTTTTCCTCCCTCACTTTTGTTTAGCCCTAATTCACTCATTTAATTTATATACTTTATTTTCATAAAGTTTTTTTTTTTTTGTCTTTTTCCTTTTTATCGGTACCAGGGATTGAACTCACGACTGCTTGCTTGCAAGGCAGGCGCTTATGCCGCTGAGCTAAATCTCCAGCTCCCATAAAGTACAAATCCTTTGAGACAAGAGGGACATAAATTACTGTAATCAAAGCCTTATATATCCATACCTTGAAAAAAAAAGCCTTCTTTACTAAATCTAGGTTTACTTACAAGTGTGTAACCCTCCTCATCTGATTCAGGCTGAGACAAATCAGATTCACTCCTCGATTTGATCAGTCTATGATTTGGACTTGCATGGATTAGCTGGCTCTCTGCAGTAAGGCTTTCACTCCTGTCTCACATGCACACAAAAAGATTGTTTTTGGTTTTGGACTGTTAGTGAACATAAAATTGAATGGAACTAGTATCACAAAGATAATGTAAACATACAGCGAGAAATAATTACATCTGTTAAAAGAAAATCCTTATTCTTATCTAAGCAAAAGCCTTTTAATCAAATCAAAAGAATTTACATGTCACTGAATTAGAGATGCAAATAACTACATATGCTTTCAACTCACGCTGTTCATGTGCAAGAAAAATTGTGCCTTCTCATCTAATCAGAAATGTATGCTCTACACTGAACCAATACCACTATTGGTTACTGCAAATCCATTCTACTCCATGTGTATTTTCTCTTGCTATCTCTGTTGATTTCAGAATAACAATATAACTTTGAGAATAAACTACTTTGAAATATAGAGGGGAAAAAAAACACAGCTAAGGCTTTAAGCTTATAGTCAGTCCCACCTGGTCATCAGTCCACCCCCTTCAGAGGTACTCGCAGAAGGCTGCTGCAGCTGTCCTTGTTCCCTCCGCTTCTGAAGCTCATCAATCACAGGACTTACTCCTAGTATTAACAGGGCACAGCGGTGGATCACAGAGTTGCAGGCAGCGGTGTACACGTCCTGACCCTCGGGGTAGGTCTGCGCTCACCCTTCGCTCTTGCTGAGACTGAGGAGGTGGATCATCAACTCGAGCCCCAGACCCTGCCCCACTGTTCATTCTATCTTGGTCTCGGCGACGAGCTACTTCACGGGCTGAGAGGAAACACTGAAAGATTTCTGTAACATGCAACACAAAAACAAGGTCTTAACACATGGGGAGAGAAAAGCAAAAAAAAAAAATAGTAAAAATAGTCAAAACGTACTGAAAGAGGGAAAATTATTTTTAAGACATTATAAGCATAGTAAATTTAAGTCATTAAAATTTATTACACTCTTACATTTCATAAAATTACAAAGGGCAATATTCACATCTTTACAGGATTTAGATTTGGCTAGTTCTATTCTGTAGAAGTTAAGGACATACCATCTTAAAATATGCCAAATTGGTATATTGACTATTTCAAGCTAAAATCACTTGGGCAACTGTAACTTCAGTAGAGGACATCTGGCCTGTCTTTTCTTACACACAGAATCTTTTGGTAAGAATGTCTTTTATACACCAAGGTCAAAAAACAGCTTTGATAACCAGGGACTGGAACTGGAACTGCAATGATTCTGAATAAGGAAATTCTGTGAAGCAAAATTTACCTTCCATTAGCTGTAACATTCGACTCCAACCCAAACATACTTCTTAGTACTATGTCTAGAATTTATTCCGCTGGTGGTCAAGACATCCATTTGTCCTGTCATCCATCACAAATCTGTTTTTTGTCTAAAGAGTATACAAGCATCATATTTTGGTCATTTGATTGGACTTCATTCTCTTGTGAAGATTCCCATGTATATATAAAATTAATAAAACTTACTTGCTTTTCTCCATTGAATCAGCCCTTACAGTAATCTGATTCCTAGATCTAACCAAAGAGCCCACATAAGAACTAAGGAGTGGTAAAGGGACTTTCCCTCTTTCCGTACAATTTCCAAATCTTATTAATGAGTTAGAGCAATGGTCCTCAGCATATGCTCCCAAATCAACAGCAGCAGCAACTCATCTGGATACTTGCAGGAATGCAGGTTATCAGGCCCATCCCATATTTTCTGAATCAGAAGATACAGGAGCAGAGCCAAGAAGTCTGTGTTTTTACAAGCCTTCCAGATTATTTTAAAGTCAACTAAAGCCTACGAAGCACAAGATAAAAAGAACTTTCTGAAATATTCAAGGTCTTGGTATGAAAACTGTGACGTTACAAAGGAAAGAAAGAAAATTCATATAATGGAAAGCTCCCTTTCTCTTTCTAAAGTCCATGTAATTGCTAACCGTAGACACCCTGATCTATCTTAAAGACAACAAATAAGTGCAAAGGCCAAGACTTTTGTTGAAACCAAATCCAGTTATCAACTATGGGCAAGATTGCCTCCAGAATTCTATGGTATCACTAGGAAGGTCTATCAGATGCTAGCCTTTCCCTAATTCACAAGTATTTTTTCTAGTTCTGAAATTTCTAGTATTTTCACTAGTATTTCACAATTCTAGTATTTTATATTAGAGAGATAACAAGGTTCTGGTGAAGTGGTATGTATTTCAAAATAGCTAAAGAAGGGGCTGGGGATTTAGCTCAGCGGCATAGGTGCCTGCCTTCCAAGTAGGCAGTCGTGAGTTCGATCCCTGATACCGATAAAAAGGAAAAGGGCAAAAAAAAAAAAAAAAAAAAAGCTAAAGAATTTTTTTTTACTCAAATTTGGAATGGAGATAGTATTCTTAATAGCAAAATCAGCAGAAAACTACATTCACCTGCTAGTACAAAAGCACGAACTTTAAAAACTCATGCATTGGGGGCTGGGGATTTAGCTCCGCGGCATAAGTGCCTGCCTTGCAAGCAAGCAGTCTTGAGTTCGATCCCTGGTACTGATAAAAAAAATAACTCATGCATTTATAAAACTATAAGTTTTATAGGTATGCCTTTAAAAGTCCTTACTTCTATAAAAATCAAAGTTTAAAAATTCTGTCAAAATACAGAAGCAACACTCCAAATAACTAATTTAAAGATAGCAACATGTAATATATTAACCATGTTACCCTCATATTATCTTGTTTTGAATTTTTTTTCTTTAAAAACAAATTCAGAGGTAAAAATCAGTGAAAGAAGAAAATGGTCACTGGAGTTTTTAGCAGACTTGGTTCTAATTCTGCTACTGTGGTACTGTGGTAGGTAACAATTTTGATTCCTTAGGCATCAGTTTACCTATCTTTAGAATGGAGTGATATTAGAAATTCGTAAGACTGTTGTAAGAATTATGACTTATTCTGTATGTAGCACTTGACCCAGTGCCTACAATGAATGCTTTAAAATCATAGTTTAAAATATATTATTCCTTGGGTGTCTATTATGCTTTTTTTTAAAGTATAATTGACAGTTTTTTTTTTATTTAAAGAAAAGGAAACAAAAAAAATACATGGAGATTAAAAAAAAGGGTAGAAATAATACAAAATTACAGACAAACAAAAGATAAGAAATTGCCGGTTAATAAGTTACAAATTGTCATCTTCGAAATAGCTGTTCAGGTTATAGAATTAAAGTATTTAGAATGACATTCAAAAAAGTGACCCTACAAACCAATCTGCTCTATGATCGAACAAAAGCTCCGTAATATGATTATCAGTCCTACACATTTGTTTTACATCTCAAAGAGGGTAAGATTAACCATATCAAAACAGAACAGAACATTTAAAAAAAATAAAAAAACAATTTAAAGAAATACAGATTTCAAAGCAAGTCCACTGGAGATCTTCATTATCTAACTATCTCTAGCTTCTTACAAATAGTTGTCCCTATCTTCACCCACTTTATATACTTATTGCATATTACAGAACAAATCAAATCATTACAGGATGATGAAGTCTTTTTAGGTCCTCAAGTTCCACATTAGGGAAGACAATAGCAACTACCTTTGCATCTCTCATTCTCTTTGTGATAGCCGTCCCCATCTCTGCTTATGCTGAAGTTGAACTGAAGAAACTAGTCCAATGTCATTCTAATCAGCAAACAATAGATTGCTAGAATTTATATTATAATGCTACAAAATAAGCCTCGGGTTTCTCAGCGTCTCTTCTAGTTTTACTTACTGTGTTTTCTTCTTTGGCCTTTAAAATCTTTAAAAAATCTAGGAATTTCTGAGCTAAGTTTAAGTTTGGTTGCAAAAATTCTCTCAGCCTTGTTTTTAAAAAATACAATTACTGGGGCTGGAGATTTAGCTCAGTGGCACAGGGCATGCCTCACAAGCATGAGGTCCTGAGTTCAATTCAACTGCCCCCCAATACAATTATTCTCCCTCCTCATCTCCAAACTAGTTTTCTCCTTTTGAATCTTATCTTTTTCTTCTTGCTTAAAAAGAGTTCAGGCTTATTTGGATATCTTAAAATTATGTTTACAAGTATACAGGATGCAAATAAATTGATAATAAAGTAATTGTCAAGGTGACTGACAGATATAGATGATCTGGACACCAAATGCATAATGTTTTAGGCTACAGATTGAATACACACTCTACTTTGGAACAGTGAAATTGTTCAAAAGGTATTAATAAATGTTTGAAAAGCTTTGCCCTTTCTCTTTCAACACATTAAGTAATTACCTTTAAAAACTATCTGTAGTTTTGGAATATTAAAGTATGAAGTGTATTCATCCACACAATGTATTCTCATATACATTCCTTCTCCCTACTACAATAGCAACGTAGTAGAAAATAACTAAAAATTCCACACATGGAAAACAATGTGGTTCTCCTAATAAGCACAGATATATTTTGCATGACCTCATTCAATGACCCACCCATTTCACCATGAGCCTCTAATACTTCTGTGTCTACTTTCAGAGCTTTTCAGGCCTGGACAAGTAACCCAACAGCACAAGAGTGACATTAGTTCAACTGTGAGTACTCTTTTACAATGTTAGCTAATGTAAACTCAGATCGCCAGTAGAGATCAGATCATTTTAGAAAAGCTATAGAGAAATCCTGCCTTTCTCTCTCAAGTCAGCTTTTCTATGAAGAAGTATGTCATGACAATTATCTCTAAAAGGAGAAGGATGTACTCACTGCCGGCTGTCATCACTTCATGTTCCTGTTCTTCCTCCTCATCCTCTGGTTCTGGATGGCCCTCTTCCCGATCTCTCTCTGCCTGTTCTTCCATTTCAGCTTCTTCATCAATGGTCTGGGTAAATGAATGCTCCTGAGGATCAACATCTGCAGAATCTTGGTTTTCTGAGATCTTAAAGATATTATCAGAAACTACACTGAATACATTTTTCAATAATTTTTTATAATTTCTAGAACTCTTCTTTATCATAAAAATGTTGCTGGTATCAATAATACATGGATTTTAAAACAAAAACACAAAAGATATAATCGATCAATCTTAAAAGATTATAAAGCATGCACATAAAATGTATACATGGATACATGCAGGTCTCTCTGGTATTTTGACTAAAATAGCATATTATAAATTGATTCATATTTATGTTGTTATTAAGCTGCAAACTACAGAGCAGCAACTTAAACTAAGTTATGGTGAATACAACACAACCAAAAATGGTAATTAAAGAACATTAATTTTGATTCCATTGTTTCTGTCAATTGTACTTTTACTCAGTGCATGATCTATTCTAAATTTAAAGTAGTTTTTCTTTAACTTCATTAGCTTTGTTTTTCATAATGTTCAGGCTATCTAGGAGTCACACAGAATCTTTCCAACAGGTACACACTAAGAGAATCAAAAATGCCACAAAGATATACAATTTCTCTCACAAATTTCAGTACAAAACACAAATCAAAATTTTGCATCTTCAGATCCATAACCAGTAAATGACTTAGGAATTTTACAAAGATGGGGATTCTAAGCAGTTAAGACTCACACAGTAATATGTAAGTCATTTACCCCCATAATATGAGAATTTCAAATATGAACCTCAATAAAAGGTCACACAAAGTTAGATCCACAAAAATATTAACTCAGTACATGCCAAAAAATCTGTTCTAACACAAATGTACAGCCATGGTTTAAGAACCACATAATGAAGTACAAAGCATCTGATACGTCAAGTTTCAAAGTAAGCACTTCTGAAAATCATGTACTCAGGCTTGTTTTTACAATTACAGGATCATGTTACCAGGAATACCAAGCATTTAGAAATCCCTTTACTTTTGTTGCAAGAATTACTTGTGGACTACCTGAGTAAATGATTTCAATCTTTTCTTTCACTGATGTAACATTCTAATAATGAGGACTATTTTCACGTGCAACTTCCCTCTTTCATTTTCACTTCTCTGATCTGAACATTTCTGATATTTTCCAGTAAGATTATAAGATTATTTTTGGACTTTTTTCCAATCTGAGAATTTGTTAATGTCCTTCATAATTTCTGACACCACAAGATAAGCACAATAATTCAAATGTAACCTGACCAGCATAAAAACAGAATTTCCTATAACTGATACCATTTTTCTATTACTGCTACGAAGTCTAAAACTCCATAAACTTTCTTAACAGATATAAGTGAAATTAAACTCAAAATCTTTGACTTTTTCATCCTTTTCATTAGAAAACTCAAGGCGCCAGGGATTTAGCTCAGTGGCATAAGTGCCTGCCTAGCAAGCACAAGGTTGTGAGTTTGATCCCCAGTACCAAAAAAAAAAAAAAAAAAAAAAGAAAGAAAGAAAGAAAGAGAAAAAAAAAACCTCAACATTTGTTGACCATCTACAAAACTCAAATCCCTTTTTTTCTTACATAAACCAATATGGAGCTCTCAAAGCTGGCAGAAAAACATAGAAATTAAGTTGATTTCCAAATTTACCCATCTGTCTTGTGATGATGATCTGGTTTGAATAAGTTCAAGATTCTTGCAAGCAAGTAAACGACTTCGAACTTTGTATACACAACGGTACACTTCTGGTAAGCTTTTACCAGGTTGGTATCTAAATAAAGAACCAAAGTAGAAAGGTTACCTAGTTTGTTACATCATATCCTGAGAGCAAATATTTGTCTAAGACTAGTTTTAAGGTACTTGCCGGCTTTCTCCACATGCTTGACTAAGCAGATTTGTGTGTTTCAGAAGTGTTGCAAGAACAAATCTAGGCACAGTATCCAAGAGCGACTCATTACTTAAAGTTGCACTGCCCCAATCTGAAAATAAAAATGATGCACTGACATTCAAAATGACTTAGAAAACAGTTCAGAGGTATTTTAATAGCTTTAGTCATCCAACATCTGAATTTGATGATCTTTCTAAACAGTGATAGTACTTAACAAACTTACACACTAGTCTAGGTACTGGGGATATAGCAGAAAACAAAACTAAATTTCCAATCAAATAGAATTTATATTCTTAGTGAGAATTGAGAAGACATGGCATGAGTGATAAAGTAAATAAAAACACTGATATGATAGGTATGTGCTGTGCTAAAAAATGAACCAGTGTAAAAGAACAGGGAATAGGGCCGAGTATTTAGCTCGGCGGCATAAGTGCCTGCCTTGGAAGCACGAGGTCGTGAGTTCAATCTCCAGTACAAAAAAAAAAAAAGAACAGTGAATAGTTTACCATATGTGACTGTATGTGATTACTGTTTTCTATAGAGTGATCTGAGAAAGTTCTTGATAAGACTGCATTTGAGCAGAAGTTTAAGTCACATAAAAGTAACCACATGAAAACTGTATTCCTCAAGACCGCTAGTGTAAAGGACCCAATTAGAAGGTTGAAGGAGGTCACCATGGGTGGGTTGGAGCCAAGTGTGCATGCATAGGCAGTAAGGGAAGATACTAGAGAGCTGGCTGGAGACCAGATGACGCTCAACTTGCAGGCCAGTGCAAGTCCTCCAGGTTTTACTTACAAGAAAAGGAGAAGCAGTATTATAAGGCTTTAAACAGAGATATAACATAATCTGACTTATGTTATGAAAAGCTCTCTGATTAGCTGAGTGTGGTGGCACATTCCTGTAATCAAGGCACTCAGGATGCTAAGGCAGTAGGATTTAAGATTTGAGGCTAGCCTGGGCTACACAGTGAGTTCAAGGCCAATCTGTACTACATCGTAAGACCTTGTCTCAAAAAAATAAAATAAATAAGCCAGCTGTGGTGGTGGATGCCTGTAATCCTAATACTGAGAAGTTAAAGCAAAAGTATCACAAAATCAACCTTGTCCTGGGCAACTTAGAGACTTAGTGAAATTCTATCTCCAAGAAAATAAATAAAAAAGGGTGGGGAATGTAATTCAGAGCAAAGAAAAAACTAAATAATTTTTTAAAAAAAGCTCTGACTCTAGAGCAGAGAACCTCCTACAAGGACAACAGCAGCAGTTGACATTGTAGTAACTCAAGTGACTGACAATGGTGACTCAGATTAGAAGACCGTGTCCTATGAAAAGTGGTCAGAGTCTCTATGAATCTCATATGAATTTTGAAGGTAAGGACAGGTTTTGTTGACAGGTCAGATATGAAATGTGAGAATAAGAGAGAAATCAAAGTCGAATCTAAATATATTTAAAATGTAGTTGGCCTAAAAAAAAAAAAACACCATAAAAAAACAGTTCTGGGTAAAAGAACCTTCTGAGGAAGGTTAAACACACAATATTTTGAGTAATTCAAAGTACAAACAATTTAAAGAACAAAATAAAAGACAACAGGAAAGAGGGATAGGAAGGGAAGAAAAAAAACATATATATATATGTATATATATATATATATATATATATGTACCAAATCCCCATGATGAATATGTTCATACATTTTACAAACATGTACTAATAAAAAGAAGGAAAAACAGACATCTATCAAAAGAATCAAGTATCTCTGTGATACCATTAGGCATGTTTTGTTTTTTCTTTTTTTGGTAATGCAGATGGAACTCACAGCTTTCACACTGAGCTACAATCTCAGCCATCCCCCCGCTTTTTTTTTTTTTTACAGTTTTTATTTTCAGATAGAGTCTTGCTAAATTGCCAGGGTTGGGATCAAACTTTCAGTCCTCTTGCCTCATCCTTCTAGAGTACTGGGATTATAAACATCCACTACCATGAATCTCATAGATTAAGCCAGGAAAGTAGAATACAAGGACAATTAAGTGAGTCAGACACATGTGGATAGAAACGAGTACCCAGATGACAGCATTACATAATGAGGACTAGCCAGGTGCTTTTTATTCCTATTTTTTTATTCCATGTGTGCACATCAGTATGGTACTGTAAAAACAGAGTAGATTCCAAATGGTAGTAGAAGATTTACTGTCTACCGTATCTCCAGATTGTCAAACTCTTTTCATATGATCGATTAACTGAATGCCTGTGCTACTTAAAAACAAACCAAGCCAGGCATGATGGCTCACAACTATAGTTTATCATTATGGGAAGCTGAGGCAGGAGGATCTCAAGTTCTAGCTCAGCCTTAGCAACTTAGCAGTAACTTAGCAAGATTCTGTCTCAAAATAAAAACCAAAAGGAACTAGGGATATACCTTGGTGCGAAAGAATTGGATTCAAAGTCCAATACTAAAAAAAAAAAATTCTTTGCAAATATTAAGCACCAATTTAATTTTATTTGTTCCTAAAGACATCTATTCTGAAGAGATAAAAAGTTATACCCTGATTTTCCATATGTATAGATAAAAAATTTAAGTTCAGACTTACCTCCTTTAAAGGTAAAATACTGACAATACAAATGTCCTGATTTAAAACAAAACAAACCTTATAACCACAGAGGATTCTTAGAATGACAGATTATATTGACCTACCCATCTCAGATACGTAAGAAAATCGTCTGTCCCATGGCCTACTTACTATTCTAAAAATTGCCATGACTGACAATCAAACAGGACTCCCTTTCAAGGAGGCTAAATTTTTTTTTTTACTGGTACCAAGGATTGAACTCAACGGCTGCACACTTGCGAGGCAGGCGCTTATGAAGGAGGATAACTCTTAAAAGTGCAAAGTACCATAACACCCTTTGCTCTGTTTCAAATGTAGGAGGGATAAGCCTTTCATGTGATTTTTAAAGTAGTAAGTTCTCTTAAAACACCATCACTGACATTACATTCATTTTAATCAAGCATTGCAGAATATATAAATTCCATGCTATGTATATAATATAGAAATTGCTTTTGTCCACCTTGTATTTATTTGTAATTTTTAAAGTTCTCACTGCAGTGTAACAAATGATAATGTGATATAAAAAATGTAACTGCACATTCCAAATAAATGATATAAAATTAGAATATATAAAAATACATTTTAGAAAGTAAGTTTTTCTTCTCAATCATTTACTTTTTCCCGTCTAACAGTAATTGATACAATAAAATGAATAAATGATTCAGAAATAAGTTGGAAGGCATTTAACCTTCTGTTTGTCTGTTTGCATGCTTACAAAAAAAAAAAGAAAGAAAGAAAGAAAGAAAGAAAGAAAGAAGAAAAAACACCCTAGGGTATTTTCTACAAAGAGAAAAACTGTCTTAAAATGTTGTTCATAAAACGCCTTCTCTACAAAAAAGCAGTATTATGATTTCTGTGATTTTCTGCTTATACATGTCACATATGTACTTGCATTATGAGCAACGTATTTACTCCCTTTATCCTCTTTATCTTACCTTTACTAACAGCGTAATCTTGCATGCTGATCCAAAGGCTACGGGCCGGCTCTTTAGAACAACCCAATGCCAAGTCTACATAGACAGCAATTTCAGGCCGCAATTTATAATCAAAAGGCTTCTGTTCTTCATTTCCAGAAAGAGCTACTTCTAACAGGCAACTCATACATTTATCTAAACAACAAATTCATATTAATGATTTCAAACCTCATACATTTTAGTGCAACACATAAAATCTTGCCATGTTTATTTAATACATGTAAAATTATATTTCAAGTCCGTTGCAGTACCAAGGTAAAGTCCTTTCATGTTTTTCAGTTAGAGGTAGATTCACTGTTCTTATTCCCAACAGAAGGATATGACACTCGGGGGAAGCTCTTGCACCTTGATGGGTAGAGGCCAGGGATGCGGAATGTCCAACCTGTGCAGCACAGTCCTGCATAACTAAAAAGTGCTGCTCCAAATGAAATGATACCCTCTTTGAGAAACATGTTAGGTTAGACAGGATTTTCTTTTTTCTCTAGACTTAAAGGAAAATAAAGAATGGTCCAAGAAAGACAGAAGATGCCATGAATACTTCCCTAGCTGATGATTACATTTCTACAGGCAGCTCTCTCTCAACTTTTCAAAAAGGTATTTGTCATTCAAAGTTCACTTTCACATTTTAAAAAACAAAATGCTCTAATTGGTGCTTTGACAACTATTAAAATTCATACTGACCCAGAATATAATTGAATTATTATATACTTACAATTTCATAAGACAATACCATGTTTCTTTATAAGCTTTTAAACCACATATCTATTTAATGGTTTTATGATTTTATAATTTAAAAACTGAAAACATTAAAAACAGTTGACTTTATTCATTTTAAGTCTAGTTATTTGAATGAAGTAAATATAGCAGGAATACAGGGAAGATAGACACAGACACGTTTTCCCTTGGGAGATCATTTGGAAGGTAAAGAGGTAAAAATTGAGGGCACTAGAATTCTTTTTAGCACACAAAGTGTCTCTTGGTAATTTCAAGATATTGCTTTCTTTGATTTAACAGAAACATCTGTCTAGCATTCCATTGGCCATGGCCAAAATCACTTAGGGTGAATCACTTAGGATGAATGTATGCTTGTATTTGCAAAAGGAAAAAAATCTTCAACTTTCCTTTTGCTCTTTGAACTCCCAAAGCAGATTCTTCTCATTTTGTCTTGGTCCCTCTCCCCACTCTTCTCTGTGTCTGTCTGTCTGTCTCTCTCTCTCTCTCTATTCTTTGAGACAGTGTCTTGTTGTGCAGTTTGGCCTGGCCTCGAGCTCCATTTTGTAGCCCAGGCTGGTTTCAAATTTGCAACAATCCTCCTGCCTCAACCTCTCAAATGCAGATTACTGCTGTGAACCAACATGCCTTTTTTCTTCCTCTTCTTCTTCTTCTTCTTCTTCTTCTTCTTCTTCTTCTTCTTCTTCTTCTTCTTCTTCTTCTTCTTTTCTCTCACTTCCTCCTATTTCTGTTTCTTTCCCTCTCCCCTGTTCTTGCTCTTACTTTCTTCTGCTGACACTCTTTGGGTCTCCTCCTCTTATCAGAGAAATAATGAATTTTAGATCTAATTATACCATATGTATTCTGACTTACAATTTCAAAGAATCAAAATTAAAAGACCAGAGAGATTAAAGGACCATTCTCAAATAAATAAAGGTCATCTGTTGGGGAACAGGGTAAGTCCTCATGTTTGATCTGACAAGTAGCCTGCCAATAAAGTAGAGAAATGCAAGCTGAGGCAGGAAAGACAAACCTCAAAGACACTACAAACGAGGGGGGTGTGGGGAGACTATCACTCCTGCACACTGTTAAATCACGACACCTACTCCTACAGTGCTTTACTCTATATGAAGCAGTTTTATGAAAAACACAACTAATCAAGCATTTCTCTATTTTGTAAGTTAGACTTGCTCAAAAACACAAGTAGTAAGTGATAAAATACAAAACAGTGAGATCAGATCTACACTTTGAGGGGAAGGGTACTCTTTTCACTACACCACTGTGTAGGACTTTATTGCTTTATTCTGTGGTCTTCCCTAAAATGGTCAATTTTGCAATCATCCATCAGTTAGTTCTTTCTTCAGCAAACTCAGAATATGAAAAAAATGGAAGTACAAATAAGCATGCATTTTAAATGCTGTAGAGAAGCCTATTACCTAGCTGAGGAGTGTCCATTTCGACTCCATCACTGAAAAGTGGTGGTTTCATCCAATAAGCAGTATCCTGTTCCTCTGGAGACACAGGGGAACCCTGAAGCACGCCGCCAGGACACCGCCCGCCCGATAAGGAGAGCAATTGTTCTTTCCAGGTCCACAAGCCACACCCAAGACTGAGCGGGCTGAGGTAATGGAACACCAGCAGGATCGATTACTTCTGGCCCTCCTAAAAACAAATCATTAGTGGGCATATCTTCACTTGGCAATTTTAAGAGCCAAAGTTTTCTCATGGCTTTACTCTATCGCACTGCAATAAATTACTGAAGTAACCTAATTTTACCATGAAAACATAGAATTATGATTCACTGTGTCAACTTGAGAAGGAAAGAGATTTAACAAGTAACTCAGCAGTTCTACATCCTAGAGGACATACCCTTACCACTACAGGATGTTATTCACTGTGTCAACTTGAAAAGTTTAGAAGTTTAACTAAATGGCTCAGCAGGGGACCAGGGACCTCACTTTGCAATCATTTTGAACCTGCGCAAGAGGACACGATGGAGATAGTGTGAGTGCAACACCCACCCAAAGATGGATAGCCTATTTACAAAGTAAGGGAAGAAAAGAGGCTTATTCTCCCACTTTTTGCTCTTGTGGCTTTTACTGTCTTCTGCTGCCTTGAAGTGTTACCCCAGTGCCATGCCACCCGGCCTTGGAGCCAGCTGATTATGGACTAAAACCTTCAAAAACTGTGAGTTAAATAAACTCTTTCTTCTTTAAGCATTGGGTATGTTATCTCAGCAATGAGAGAAAAGTAACCAAGACACATAAAATGCTTTTTATATATATTCTCTGGTATACAAGCTAAATTAAAACAGAGAAGTACTACTAAATACAAACTTCCTTTATGAAACTCCTAACTTTAAGATAAACAATGAAATATTCTGCAGGAAGAATAAGGAAGCTTATTCAGGACAAATTAGATAAAAAAAATTTGGCTTAAATATATTCTCATGGCAACACTATGTCTGTTAAAATCAGACAAATAATTGTTTTCCTAACCATTACATGATTTTCCAATAGGGAAATTAATGTTTTCTTTGGTTGGGTTCAGCAGTATGCCAAAAGCATTAAGAAAGATACACAGTTGATTTATAGATAACTGCCCATTTCTAGTGTTTCTGGGCTACCATGGTGGGTATCACCTTAACAGGGAGATGATTGGATAAAGCTTCATAATTTTACAGGACTGCAACAAAGCACAGGAACAACTTTAAAGCTTGCAACCAGGTCTAATGTCACTCAGTGACCAGCTTTGTTCTATCTTGTCTACCTTCCCTCTACTACCTTGTCTTCTTTTTCTACCTTCCCTACTTTCCTCCTCTTTCCATTTCCTTACTGTGGTCCCCTTTCTATCATCATATTGCCTTTTTAAAAACTGAAACCATATTATTTAAAAAATAAAGCTAGGGATATAGCTTAGCAGCATAAGTGCCTGCCTGGCAAGCACAAGGTCATGAGTTCAATTCCCAGTACCTCCCCACCACAAAAAAGAAAGAAAGAAAGAAAGAAAGAAAGAAAGAAAGAAAGAAAGAAAGAACTTTTACATGGAATCCAGTAATGCACTGATGATTAAATGGACCATTATCTTTGAGTACCTCTAAGGTAAAATGATGCTAAATTATGATACAAGGCTTTCCTATTATACATCGTAAGATGCATCTCAATTTTTCCTATGTCAAAATTTGAAGAAAAAGGGGCTGGGGATTTAGCTCAGCGGCATAAGCACCTGCCTTGCAAGCAGACAGTCGTGAGTTTGATCCCTGGTACCAAGGTGATCCGGCCTGCAGATCAACAAGTTCAGAACTCCTGGAGGGGAAACGGGGATTAAATAAAAGACATAGGGGAGACAAAAGAGAGACGAAAGCAAGATGAAATAATCCAATCAAGCTTCCGGTTTATTCAGAAAATGATCACACCTTTTATATGCTAAGGGCGGGAGCTGGGACAGGAAGAGGTTAAACAGAAGAATACAACAGGGTCACCATCACATCCGGATACGTGACGTAAGCAGGAGAGGATTATGGTTAATGTAGGCAGACGCAGTGCCCATAGGAGAGAGAGGCATCGAGGCGGCAGCAATGCCTGTCACTTGGCTCCCTACAAAAAGGAAAAAGACCAAAAAAAAAAAAAAAAGGTCTTAGTGCCAGTAAAATACAGAATCCTAACCTAATGACAATAAGGATACTTTTTATGACTTTTATTTATACATAAGCATCTTTCTTCAGAGTCCCATGTCACTTGCCTAATTTAGATCATAAACTTTTAGAAGATAATATTTTTTTTTATCGGTACTGGCGATCGAACTCACAACCACCTGCTTGCAAGGCAGGTGCTTATACCACTGAGCTAAATCCCCAGCCAGAAGATAATCTTTTTTTTTATTTTATTTAAGAGGAAAAAGAGAAAAACACAAAACAAAACAAAGTGGTGTAAGGTTACACATAATACAGAACTACAAAAAAAAACATAACAGTAAGAAATCACCTATTAATAGATTACATATTATCATCTTGGAAATAGTTGCTCACATCACAGTATCAAAGAATACAAAGTAGACATTCAAACAGAGAGAAGATAATCTTTTGATTACACAAAACACCCATAATCAGACATGATTTGAGCTGATGCACACAAGAGGAGTATCTCCTCAAAAGCACTATTTACCCTTTTTCTACCTTTACTTACCATGAAGAGGCCTGTAACTCTTGGTCTTCTAGAAGAGCAGCAGCTGGCAGGAGTCTATTAAGGCAAACAAGAGGTGGCAAGAGATCCAGGAGGTAACTCAACAGGGGACGAGCCACTGACACTGGGAGTAATAGTAGGGAGTTAACAATCTGGCAGAGCATACTGCCTGCAGCTGAGACGTATATCACATCTATAAGGGGCAAGAAATGCAACATAAACAACTATTTCAAACAAAAATAAATAGAAGAAAAACTACTTTGGTTTGGAGCAAAGTAGACTAAGCTGAAAACTATTGAACATTCCCTGCTAGCTGGTACTGTTGTACTCTAAGAAAATACCTTCATTATTTTGTGTATTATAGCAAACCTGCAATGTGGCTTACTAAATGTGTTTTTTTATTCTTTTTCCCTAACTGATATGTTAAGTGACCTAATTGATATGTTGAGCAACACTCTCCTCTGTAAAGAATTGCAAGAATCTCACCTAATTGATATGTTAACCATTGTTGCCCTCTACAAACTACAGAAGTTGTGCTAAAACAAGCTAACAAGGGTTGTTAATCACTGTTAGGCGCCTCTATTCTCCGCTAAAGAGCTAAAGAAAACTAGGATGGCCCACTAACTTACACTTGTTTGAAGTAACTTGCTTGTGTGCAGAAAGATTTGCATATGAGTTTAACCCTTTACCTGACTTTGACACATAACCACCATTTTCTGTTCTGTATGGCACCTTATTGCCTCCCTCTCCCCTCACCTATCTATCTAGGCCATAAAGAATTTGCGTTTCTGGTGACCTCTTCCCGACCCAGTGATGATCTGTCATAAAATGAGCCTGCCCCAATTTTAAGAACTGTTTAGCTTCAAAGAAATTACCAGGAAATACTATGGCCCAAACCCCAATCGGTGCTTTCCTTTTGTTCTGTATGCATCAAATGAGTTAGATATCAGATCTTTGTAAAACTTAAGTTTCAGCTTCTTGTAACTCTTGACCCTTTCGCACCCACTAGTGAAAATGAGCTGTCCTGGGATAATTAACTGTCCACTTTCTTCTCCAAATTGCTGCACATGTGCCATTCTGAGATAATGTCAGTCTGTAGGATGGGAGTAATTTGAGAAACACCAGGAACTCCTGAGATTGTCAGAGCTAAGTGGACAGCAATACAGATTCCAGACTCAGGTCAACAAGTTTGATGGCTCTGCAGGTTTCTTTATTTCTCCCCCCCCCCTCTTTTCCTCCAGCCTCTTTTTAAAGTCCTCCCTTCAGTCTCTGGGACACAGTCTCCAAATTGGCTACTGGAGACTCATCGCCAGGCCTGGAAATAAAGACTTTGCTACTTAAATTTTCTGTCTCTTGCTTCCTTGGATTTTATACCGGGGCCCAAGTTATAACAGTACCGTACTAATTTCTGTACACTCGCAAAAAGAGCTTTGTTATATTTGTATTATACCAAAATACCTGTAACGAGGCCTTACTGTTCTGTAGGCAGTTTTCCCCCCCTCTGGGTGACCTAATTGATATGTTAATCAATGCTCTCCTCTGTAAAGAATTGTGAGTCCCTGGGAACCAAACCTAGTTGATATGTTAACCATTGTTGCCCTCTACAAATAACAGATGTGGTGCTAAAATAAGCTAACAAAAGATTGTTAATTACTGCTAGACTAAAATATTTCCTTATCAGATTTCCTGATCCACGCCCATAACCCCTTACTTTGTAAACTGTGATATATACATAAAGGCTGCAAGCTTTTGAGGGCAACACACAGCTTTTGCAATCTCCAACTGCACTGTGTCACTGGGCCCAGGATAAAATAAATCAGCACTGCTTTTTAAAATATGTTTTTGCCTCATTTTAAACTCAAGTTTGGGGGCTGGTTTGTGGATTACAAGACTAATATTTATTCACTTTCAGAATGTACCACCAATAGACACTTTGTAGGAAAGCACACCTGTCTTTCATGCCAATCAATTCAAAAGGTTATAATTGTTTGAATATACATTATGAATTTCTCATTCATTTGGAAATTGACTGAAACATTTATTGAGTTACCTGCAAGACCAAGCACCACTCTAGGCAAAGATGATATATAGCCATAACCAAAGCAGCCAAAACTTTCTGCCCTTATGGTTACTTTGTAGTTTTAGAAACTTTTTAAGTATTTTTGAAATGTTTTTATTACAGGCAGAGATTTTAAATCACATTTGTTTAAATGTTTCATTGTATTTAGGACTGGAAGGAGCATTCAAAATGAGTTCAGTGTGAAGATGCTTAATTTTAGTTCCTTGTAGAACAACGACATGGAGATATCTAATCAGAAGTGGTTTCAGTTCTTCAGCTCATTTATTTCTTTCCTTAGCAGGGAAACTTCAGAGATGAGATGGTTTGATACAGACATGGATTTTAGTTAGGCAAAAGTTCTAGTGCTCAGGAAAGAAATTCTCACATTGGAGTTAGTAACACCCATGGTGGTTAAAGGACTCTGAGATTAGATAAAACCATTCAGAAAGAAAAAGAGGGCTGAAAACAGATTCACAGGATCCTTGACATGAAAGGCACTGTTGAAGCAAGAGGGGCCTATCAGAGCTCATGGAAAAATAGTGGTCAGAGAGATGAAAAAAAAAGGACTGTGATCACACAGAAGATCATGGAACAAATCTTTCCAGAAGGAAAAATTGACACTGGCAAGCGCTTGAGCAAGATAAAGAAATACAAGAAAATAATAACACATTATACCATTTGAAACTAATCTTTTGGATTTTACACCATCCATTGCCTATAAATTAAGCCTTTATGATGTCAATTAGACTCTTCTAGTGCTATCATTACCCCAAACCAAGATTAAAGAAATATTCAATAAAAAGATTCAAGACAATTCTTCTTATACTCAGAGGCTGCAGACCCTCAAGGGTTAATAATTATTACCTTTAAACTACTCATTAGATGGCAATTCAACACCAAACAAATCTCTTAATTTTTCTCCAACACTGCCATTCCAAGGACTTTCTTTGAGCAGATTTGCAGAACGGGAGTAAATATCTGTGGCATGAGGCAACAAGAGCTGCAGATGTTTATGAAGCAATGCCACACTGCTTGAGTTCTAAGGAGAAAAAAGTTCCTTAATTATTATGGTAAAATACTCAAGGTATGAAATTATGGCACACCCAAATACACAAGTTTCAAGGTCCTGATAGATGTCCATAAAAAACAAAGAATCACATACTCGCTAATGTTATTAATATGGCAAAACGCCAGTAGCCGTTTCTGTAATGAACACAGCAGTTCATGAAGATGAGCAGGCTGACTGTTCTCTGATGATGATGTTCCAAGTAGAAATTTATCACTATTCTTTTCTAGCTCTCCAAATGCTTGATCCTAAAATGACATGTTAAAGATTATATTTGAAAGGCTTCCAAATGAAAGTAATGTCTATCATGAAAGATTCTGATTTAAAAGGTATTATGTTCTTTCTCCCATTACCAATTTCTTTTCCCCAGCTTTGGGATTGAACCCAGGGCCTTTGTATGAAGCTACAAGTACTTTTCAAGCCCTTTTAAATATTTCACTTTGTGACAAAGGTCTACTTCAACTGGGCATGCTAGGCTTGGACTTGCAATCTTCCTGGCCCAGGACCCTGGAAGTGCTGAGATTACAGGTATATGCAACATACCTGCCTCAATTATCAATGTTTTGATCTCTGCTATAATTCTTGTAATAAACTAGTAGAAAGAAAAGTTTCAATTTGTTTTTTCAATTTAAGAAGTAACGTACACTTAACTCTAACATCTTTGAAAATATAGAAAACAAGAAAAAAGAGTGAGCAACTAATCAAAGCAACACATATTGGGGTGAGGGATGCAGCTCAGCAGCACGAACACCTTCCTGGTAAGCACAAAATCTTGAGTTCAATTCCTGGTACAAAAAAAAAAAATAGAAAGAAAGAAAAAGAAAAAGACAACATATAAAACATTTTTAAGCTATTCCTTTTCAGATCTTCTGTGTAAAGGTTTTATTTCCACATGCTTATAGATTTCTAAGAACATAGAGGGGTTGGGGATTTAGCTCAGCGGCATAAGTACCTGCCTTGCAAGTGCGCAGTCATGAGTTCGATCCCTGGCACCGATTTTATAAAAAAAAAAAGGCCGGATGTGGTGGCACATGCCTATAATCCCAGCACTCAAGACTACACAGTGAGTTCAAAGCCAGCCTGCACTATGTAGTGAGACCTTGTTTCAAAAACAAAAATAAAAACTGAAACAAAAAGTAAATAAATGGACTAAAGAAACATGACAACTAAAGAAGTTGCACTACAGACTAAATTTCAAGGCTAATTTCTGGCTGTGGCACTCAGGGCTCAAAATAAAATATATGGTCAAAGAAAAATCTAAAACCTGAGGCTCTCCAGGACCATGCTTAAGGTGCAGCACGAAAGGGCACTGGGCACAAGATTGCCCTGACCCATGGCCACCACTGGGATCCTGTCCCATCTGCAAACAAGAGGGTCACTGCAAGTACAACTGCTCTGTCCACCAGAAAGCAGGTAAGTCATCAAACTCTCTACCCTTATAGGAGATTATGTCACCACTGACACTGAACTCATCACTCAATGACCTGCTCAGTTTTGTCACTGAAGAGGACTGAGGGGGCTGAGGGCCCATGGCCCCAACCAAGGTATCTCTCTCAGAGCCCTAAGTCTTTCTGGATATCTCAGGTAAAACCTTCTCTTTTCTTTCCAACAGGGGGGCCACCTACAGTGTTTTACCTGCATTCTCAGGCTGATGTACCTGGTCTACAGTCTCCATTATGGGGGCTGACAGCCAACCTACACAACCTCTCCAGACAGAACCTACCCCTTGCAGATTCCAAACCCTTTTCTTTATACAAAACTTTTTGTCATCCCAACTTGTTCTGTATCCCTTTTAAGCAGAGATCTCTCCAAAAGCTCAATTTCTCTTATACTTTCTCTCTCCCTTTGGCTCTCAACTGAACCAAAAACCTAACAACTAAATACAATATGTGATTCTGGACCAAATACTGACCTGGGAGGGAAATTGCTATACAAGATACTGCTAGGACAATTATTAACAGTTTACTCCTACCATCACTGGAGCAGCACATTTGTCTCTACACTATCCTGAACGCTGCTCACACAAGTGTCATTTGAACCAGTCAATTCCTGTCTTATAAAAATTAACCAAAAAATGCACTGTATGACCATGTTATATTTAAATAATTGGGCTGTGTTTTAATTTTAGCTGAAATTCAAAAACAGGCTATACATTAGGTAATGGCTCAATTACCCTAAGAAAATAATCACTAGTATTTTTTGATCTGTTTTATGTTTACATAAAACTGCAGAGTCTATTTTTAGCCTGTTCCTTTCCAACAGAATTACAAATCTTTCTATATTGTTCGCTCTCTTTTGGAGGAGACAGGGTACTGGGGATTGAACTCAGGGTCTTGTGCATGCTAAGCAAGCACTCTTCCACTGAGCTATATGCCCAGACTCATTATTTATTGATTTATTTATTTTGGGCCAACATTTCTACAAACCACATGTGTATAAAATTTAAGTTATAAGATTGTATTGACCACATATATCATTACTTACTGAACCATTCCTCTATTTAAGTATTTCCATTATTTCTAATTTTTATTATCAATAACTTGAATATTTTTACCCACACAATTCAGTCTAGGTTTATAATATGACTATGAGAACATTTTAAGGCCCTTGCTTATAAACTGACAATAGCACTATTATTTTTAAAGTCTTAAAACATAACAAATTGGTTTAAATTGTATTTTAGATAAACAATAATTTATAATTTTAATTCAAAAGTGACTAATATTTTATCTCCTTTTCCATAAAGCATTCACATTTAACTCAGCCTTAATCATATATGAAAACAACTGCTTTAATATAGCAAACAGGCTCTGTAGAAGTTTGGGAAAAAATTTCAGTCATTAACAAATGCACAAACTCTTAACATCACCCCTGTCCAATTTGTAGCCATTACTTCCTAAAAATACCAAGCATCACATGCAATTCACATTTCTAGGCAAAAAAGAAAATAATTCTGCAGGAACAATTTTCAGACCTAGTCAATGGCCTTTTACTGTGGACAGAACATAGCACTAGACTTATACAAGGAAAAAACAATATACAAACCCAGTCCTATAGAAGACAACATGAAATTATATACAAATAATTTGTATATAACCCCAAAAGTGCTTAGCAATATAGGTGTATGCTAGTATAATCAATCACATGGTTAGATGAACAAGGCTCCCTAAAATGGCAAACCTTAAAGAAGTCAGATTGGTAAAAAAGAACAATCAGGACACAAGTGTACCATGTACAAATGGAAAAGGTACACCAGTAAGAAAGGTACAGACAAGAATGGTGCATGAGCCAATGATGAAAGATGACTGAAGGGCTTTTTAATACAGAGAGATTATTCCAGCAATAAAATCCTGAAAAGAAATCAGCAATAGTGACAACAGCTATAACACAGTTATTAATGTTGGATCAATAATGACTAAGCTTGTGTGGGTAAAGTGAATTAGTTTGTGCATTTGTTAATGACAGCTACTTGTGGGGAAGAGGGATGGATTTAAGAAACAGAAGGAAGGAATTAATGGCACTCTCATATACATAGTGTGATGGGACCTACTGTCTCCTCTTCTACTAACCAGTCGATTCTTAGTACAACTGAATTATAACATTGTATCCCCTTGTTCATTATTTTCTTTAAATTTTTTGACAGTTTTTATCTGCTTATTGTTTGTTAACATGAAAAAGGCTGGTAAAATTCTAACATTAATTTCTCTGTAATTCTCAAATACATTTCACTGAGGCCTCATAATATTTCATAAGACCTGATTCATGTCTCCCTTTGGGGAAATGGGAAGGTTATATTTTAAGTTTTTAAAGGTCAAAATACCTTCACGTGAGGAGATACTACTTTATTTATTTATTTTACTGCAATGAAAAAGCAACTTACTGTATAAAATCCTAAATTTCTTAAGAGAGTTTTCATCAAAATCTCAGCCAGATGGGTGTCGGGATGGCAGCTCTGAGTGCCATAGGGCTGATCTGACAGGTTTCCATAGCCAGTGCACACAGCAGAGAGGTCAGTGGCATCAGAGGGCGAGCTATAGCCAAGTAGGGAGGCGACATGTGTATGATCCTGCAAACTTGTCAGAATGATGTCCAGTTGCATTCTCTAAAGAGCAATGAAACAGGAATACATGGATAGCTTACAACATACTGATGAGAAAGAAAAAGGATCTAGGAAAATATACTAATTATGCTAGCTAATCTATGTAATAACCTGATTAAACAATAATCTGCAGGAAGTATATAATTATAAGAAAAACTATCCAATTAATACTATTTAGAAAAATATAACTTAATGGCTTAGTGTATCCTTCTTATAATACTTAAAACTCTTAGCTAAAGTGGCATACTGTGCATCATAATTTAAGTACTACAAATAGGAATAGGAAGTGCCAACAGACAAATTATAAGTGTTATTTTAAAGGGTTTCCAATGACTACTTACTTAAATGTTTAAAATAAACCATCTGAAACTTAAACTAATACAAAATACTCACTGGAAACCATCTGTGGATATCTGTTGTAAGTACCATTTTTCCTCAAATCTGTATCTCTAGATTTGATTCTTTTTTTTTTCCTGTCTTTTTGAAATAGGGTTTCACTGTGTAGTTCAGGCTGGCCTTGAACTCACTTTGTAGCCCAGATTGCCCTCGAATTCCCAGTGACCTGCCTGTCTCAGCCATCCGAATGCTGGGAACACAGGCATGTGTCACCACACCTGGCCATTCTAAATTTGATTCTATTTGGTACAGCAAAATATACTTATTTCAATATACATAAGAGAAGTGAAAAATAAGAATATTTATATCCTTAAATACTTTTCCTTAATGGTCATCTTTTGCTTTTTAGATAAACAATTGCATTCAAAGTCTGTCAATGGAACCAACAGCAGTAGCACATAGTTTTGGTTTTAATTCAACAAACTACAAATAAACCAAAGAATCAGAGGGATGACACAGCAATCAACAGTGGGGAAATCGGTTGTTATTTTAGTAATTAGTCCCAAATAATTTATTATTTGCTTTACCTGTAATCACTAAACATCTGCAATTTTGCCCCATGAACACATGGCCGTTGATCAGCTTATTTTCCTCTCACGCCAATGTCTTATGATACAACCAGTTTACTTAGATGCCACACAAAGGCTTACCTGTCCTTTAGATAAGCTTTCCCATCTATCAGGCCTTGGGGTAAAAGAGAATGAAGTAACTCCATCCATTCTCTTAAAGGAGGTAATAGCATGGTTGCTCCTACTGACAGAGTTTCAATTACCACTTAATATCGAAAAAGAAAACAGTATTCATTTAATGAATGAATACTGTTTATCCCTTAAATAAAAAAACACATGAAAAGTGAATCTATTATTATCATGAAAGTCTAAAGAAGGTAGCATGAGGGGGAAAAAAACATGCAAATCTTTCTCTAGATATCTTTAAAAAGTAGAGAATACAAACTCTGAATTTGTTACAACATAATCATCACCCAACAAATATTTAAGGTTCAGTTTACAGTGCTGGGTAAAGAAAGAACTGTGCAAAGTGATACAGAAGAGTAAGGTTCCATTTTCATAAGAATATAATCGGATGGGGCAGGGCTTGAACAAGTAATTGTGAAAAGAGTCACACAAGAAAAGTTACAAAGCAGTGAGAATTTCTGTGAACACATATATGAAGGAGGTGCAAGCAGCATGGCCCACAGCTCCTGAAGGTCATTAGGTATTTAAAATCACGGTTACCAGTCTTAGTCACATAAAGATCCAGGCAGAGAGAATAGTATAAGGAATAGCTAGCTTCACTATCTTAACCTCTATAGGTCATGATTTCTTCATTAACAAAATCAGAGTGTCAGTCTAGATAAACACTAAAGGGCTTTTTAATTTTAGTAACTTCTCTATTAGTCAATGTTTCTGCTTACTTGAATTATATAATATAATGATGAAAAATTCAATTGCACAATAACGGTAATTCTTCTAATAGAAAACATTGCTCTCCAACGGCTAACCTTTAAAGGAAGAACCTTTAAAGATTTCCTCTGGTTACTATAATCAAACTAAACTCTAGCTACAGAAATTCAACAAAGGTGAATAGGATTAAGGAACAAATAAATGTATTCTATTTCCAAAAGCGCTTTTAAAAGGACAGATGGAGGGGCTGGGGATTTAGCTCAGCGGCATAAGCGCCTGCCTTGTAAGCAGGTAGTCATGAGTTCGATCCCCGGTACTGATAAAAAGGAAAAAAAAAAAAAAAAAGAAAGAAAGAAAAGGACAGATGGCAGAAGAGAGCTTCATACAAAAAGATCAAAAATGAAAAAAGTGGTAAGGGGAAACAGCATCAAAACTTTGGAACAGCGGCTGGGGATTTAACTCAGCGGCATAAGCGCCTGCCTTGCAAGTGTGTGGTCGTGAGTTCCTGGTACAGAAAAAAAACAAAACAACAACAACAAAAAAAAAACTTTGAAACCAGAAAGCAACAAGTGTTTAACTGACTTAGAGCTGAAAAGGTTGTATCCTAAGTTTAAAAACTGATAATCAAAAAGTACTTTGATCCATTCTATAGAATTCCTAGAGGCTCAGGTATTTTTGCAACAATAGGTAAGGGAGGGGCTTAAAACCAAAGAATTAGCTAAAAACTGGTGAGATAAGGAGCACACTTGAGGGTAGTAATACAGAACTGAGTGCAGAGGAATTCATAAGATACATTGCTCAGTCTGAGTACTGAGGCATCTGAGCTCTTCTGCCCACCACAGAACTGTGGTCCAACTCTACACCTCTGGCAGGAGACAAGAAGAGCCTTCCTATGGGGAATCTGAGTCATTCCCCACTGCCTGTTCACCCATCCACAGCAAGGTTGATAAAATCTATTCAGGTGCAGAGGACTTTCAACAGCCGTTAGAGTCACACTCTTAAACACAACTAGACAGCCAAAATTCATTAAAAACACAAGAAAAACCGGTCATGGGAAAGATGGACTAAAACTAATAGTCTAATTTGTTTTTGTTTAAAGCAACTACATAGAAAAATAAGAAAAAAATATTATATTAAAAAATACAAAATCAGAACAAGAGGCTACAAAAATAAGGGAATACTTGCAGGATAAAGAAAAGCCTTTTACATTCTAAAAATAAAAGAAACATTTTAAATTTCAATGGAATGATTAAAATGTAACACTAAATTTCTCATAAAAGTAGAAGGGGGAAATGGAAAACAAACAAAGATTATTTTTAGTTTGCTGTTTGTTATGTTAAACTCACACTATCCCATTTCTGATAAATACTAAATTGTTACAGTTCCTTTTCACCCCAACCCCAATGTTACTCTCTTCCTGATCCAAGAGGATATGTTCTAGTAGAAAAATCACTATTGTTATTATTCCTTTATTTAAAAAACTGACAGATAATCTATGTGCCATAAAATTCACCTTCTGACAGTACAATATTCAGTGGTTTTTTTTTTACCACATTTATAGAGTTACTCATAATTCGGAACATTTTCATCATCCCAAAAACAAACTGTGCCCCTTCACAGTCATTCTCTATTCTTCCCAAGTCTCTGACAACTACTAATCTATTTCCTTTCTCTACACATTTGCTATCTCACAAATTTTAAACTTTGAGGAGTTAAAAACATGAAGCCTTCTGCATCAGTTTCCTTCACTTACATAATGTTCATAAGGGTCAGTCATATTGTAATGCCTATCAACACTCCATTTCTTTTTATAGAAATGTAACATTTCAGTAATGTTACATTATATAAATACACCACACTTGGCTTAGCAGCCAGCACACATTTGTGTCATTCCTTTTTTTCCTCAGTGCTAAAGGTTATCAGTTGAACCTAGGATCTCACACCTTCTAGGCAAGTACTCCACTGAGCTTCTCCGCCACTACTTTTTTTGTTTTGATACAGTCTCATCAAGTTGCTCGGGCAGAGGCCACCACGCTCAGCTGTCCCCACTCTTTGGCTGCTATGAATAACACCTCTATCAGTATTTCCACACCAACTTTTACAGAGACATATGTTTTCAATTCTCTTGGGTACAGATCTACCGGTCATATGGTAACTATATTTAAGGAACTGGATAGCAGTGACATCCTTTTAAATTCCCATCTGAAGGTATGAGCACTCTAATTCCTCCCCCACCTTAAACACATGCTGTTGTCAGTCTTTCCTGATTCTGGCTATTTAATGGATGTGAAGAAGTATCACACTGTGACTTTCATTTGTGTTTCACTGGTGAGTAGTGATGAGTACTTCTTCAGGTGCTTATTTGTAATATCTTTTCTGAAAATATGTCTGCTAACATTCTTTGTTCATCTTTTAACTTAGATTTTTTTTTTGTCTTTAGGGTTGCACTGCAAGGAGACTTCATATACTACAAAAACTAGAATTGTATTACAATACAAAAAAACTTTTTCAAACAGTATCTACTCATTTATACTCACTGTTCTAGTCACTTGTTCCTCCCCAAGCCTATTTGTATCTTCTACCTGCATATACTGAAATGCCAAACTGACTCAAGAGGAAACAGAAAATCTGAATGGACCTATAATGAAAAGACACTAAATTCATGATGACCATGATGATGATCATGATCAAGATAATGATAAATGCCAGATAGAAAAATCCAAGATCAAATGGCTTCACTGGTGAATTCTACTCCCAGTTCTGAGTAGGGTCCTGGTAGGAGATTACCCACTTACTCAGATACAAAAATAAGTAAAACTGGGTCCTTCCCCTCAGAAATTCATCTTATGGTGAAAAAGATGAATACGTTTGTAAATGCAATGTTTGAAACTGTAATACAGTATGACACAATAAGAACACACATGAGAGAAATCTAAGCTGGTGAGAAGCAAGGACTGAAAGATTTCTCAGAGATGGCCTCTATCTTAAAAGATGAGTTATCCAAAAATTTACCTACCAAGATAAGAGAAAGCATATGCATTGAACTTGTTCCATACACAGCTGAATATACCACATGTGTGGTCTGAGTCACAGACTTACAAGCCCTATTCTTTTACCTCTTGGATTTCATCAGAACAGTTGAGTCCATCAGCCTGAAGAGCAGATTTCAAAATGGCCCCGCCTGCCTCCCAAGAATGCCTGTGGCTACCCCTCCTGCCAGTACCAGAGCAAGGTGATTTGAAAGAAGCTTCAGGCATAGCTCGAGGAAACTGTGATGTTCCCTGAAACCAAATATACTACAGTGAATTTCCAAAACACACAAGTACATGTGCTATTGTTTGGTAACAGTTCCTTATCATTAAAAATGTTGTCCAGTCATGACTGACTGTAGTTTCTAAAATGTGACTTGTGAAATTATGGATAACATATTAAAACCTAGATGTTATTAGGGATAAAAATTTAGCTCTATTCTAGCATCTGAAGAAGCTTCACATAAGTTGAGCAAAAGCAAGAAAGAACAGTAAGTCAAATGTCAAAAATAATTCATACACATTCCCACACAAACACACAAAATGCACATACTTAACAATATAACATACCTTGATGAAGGGAAAGGCGGGGGGGGGAATCTCACTGTTTATTTTATCACAGTATCTCTCAAGAAAGGAACGCAGGTGCGAGAAGGTACTCTCTTCAAGATCTACACAGTAAGGTCGGTGCCATGCAACAACTTGTCTAAAGGAAGTATAAGGAAACTATAAAAAGAGTCTTAAAATGAAATTTCCCCTTTTTTGGGAGGCGGAAGGAGTTGTTTGGTTGGTTTTTAGAGAGTCTCATTATATAGTTCAGGCCATCCTTGAACTCACTATGTAACCCAGGCTAGCTTCAAATTTGCAGCAATCCTCCTGCCTCAGCCTCCTGAGTGCTAGGATTTTAGGTATGCACCACCACACCTAGCTTAAAATGAAATGCCATACATGGCCAGGGATGTAGCTCTGTGGCACTAGCACCTGCTTGGTAAGTGCAAGGTCCTGAGTTTGATCCTTGTTACCAAAAAAGAAAGTAAAAGAAAAAAATTTCATACATGATCAAAAACTAAAATCACAGCAGACTAAAGCTGAGAGATTTTAACAAGATACACAAAAATGCTTCCAATTATGAAGGTACTACAACTTTTAGCAAGTGAGGAGACCAAGAATTTACCATCTTTAAAAAGGAAACAAACTGGGTGTGGTAGTGCAAGTCTGTAAGCTCAACACTCTGGGAGGCTGAGATAGGAGGATCACAAGTTCAAATCCTGGGGCAATTTAGCAAACCCCTGTCTCAAAAAGAAAAAGGGCTTGGCATGTAGCTCAGTGGTACAGTGTCCCTGGGTTCAAAAGGTTTTTGAATGAGAAGGAGAAAGAGAAGAACATGTTAAGTATCACCTGTGCTAGAAGGCTTGGCTAGTTACTGACCATAAAGAGAGGACTGAGTCACATGATCTACTAAATTCTGGTTCTAAGAGTCTATATATTTCATAGTAAGAAAATTAGTATGAGTCTATGGAATGATACACTGTAATATATTAAAAGAAAAAATTCCTGAAACCTTTGTGTGAAGACTTTCAAGATCTTGAGAAACAACACATACATATGAAGTAGGAAGCTGCAAATTTAATACTAATACAAATTTCTGATATTCATTTGTTTTAGGCTCTTTTGGAGGTGATTATGAATTTTTAATTGCTTAAAAAGTAATAACGCAGAGATCTCGAATGCAAACAGAAAACATTCTAAGCTTTGTATCAGCCCACATGCATCTACAAAACTCTGAAGTAACTCAAACATTTCTTAAAATTCAATCTACCATTGACTAAAAACCTTACCTATATACATTATTAGTTTAAAAGATATGGCTATCACCTTAGGAAAAAGCTACATTTCTGCAAAATAATAAAATAAAAAGCCTCTTTAATTTAAAAGTATGGCCACAATAGGTACCATGAATGTTAAAGTGAAAGTGAAAGAAACTGCTCAACAGGAAAGAACAACTGGGATGGGGGAAGGAGAAAAGAAAGGGAAAAGATATATAAAACACACAAGATATATAATCATACTACTAATCTCTGTTAGTTCATCAAAAAAAAAACAATTTCTGCTTTCATTGTTTGATCATTTTTTTAATGCCTGTATCGTGTAATCTGAACTACTTTGAAGATAACAATATGCAATATATTAACCAGTTTATCTCCTATTATTTTGTTTTGAAATTCTGTATCTTTTGTTGTTGTTTTAAAATTTAAAACAAACAAAAAAAGTACGGCCACAATTTTCTTTTTCCCAAAAAACAAACCAGATAAATCATAGTGAGGTTAGTAATTGTTTTAAATCAATAAAGCATCATTCTGATTTTAATTATTTTTTCTCCTGATATAATTTCTAACACCTTTACCTAAAGATACAGAACAAATTAAAAGTGTTTAACAATTAAGAATATCTTGCCGTACATTTAGCTCAGTGGCATCAGTGCCTGCCTCACAAGTGTGAGGTCATGAGTTTGATCCCCAGTACCAAAAAAAAAAAAAAAAGAAGAAGAAGGAGAAGAAGAAGAAGAATATTGTTGTACTCTAAGAAAGTAGCTTCATCATTTTGTGTATTATAGCAAACCTGTACCGCAGCTTACTAAATGTTTTTTTTCTTAACTGATATGTTAAGTGACCCAATAGATATGTTGAGCAATACTCTCCCCTGTAAAGAATTGCAAGAATTTCACTTAATTGAGATGTTAATCACGGAGCGGCCCTCTACAAACAAGAAGAGTGGTGCTAAAACAAGCTAACAAGGGCTGTTAATCACGGTTAGGCGCCTCTATTCTTCGCTAAAGAACTAAAGAAGACAAGAAGGCCCACTAATTTACAAATTGTTTGAAGTAGCTTGTTTATATGCAGGGAGATTTGCCCATGAGTTTAACCTTTTTACCTAACCTTAGTTACTCTTCCCACAAGATAGATACTCGCCGTTTTCCTGTTCTGTAGCGCGCCTTATTGCCTTCCCCCACCCACCTATCTGGGCCATAAAGAATTTGGGTTTCTGGTGACCTCTCCCTGACCTGGTGATGATCTGTCATAAGATGAGCCGGCCCCAATTTTAGGAACTGCTTAGCTTAAGAGAAATTACCGGGTAACGCTATGGCCCAAACCCCGATCGGTGCTTTCCTTTTGTTCTGTATGTATCAATGGGTTAGATATCAGATCTTTGTAAAACTTAAGTTCCAGCATCTCATAACTCGTGACCCCTTCGCACTCACTGGCGAAGACAAGCTGTCCTGGGATAATTAACTCTCCACTTTCTTCTCCAAATATTGCTGCAGACGTGCCACTCTGAGATAATGTCAGTCTGCAGGATGGGAGTAATTTGAGCAACAACAGGAACTCCCGGGACTGTCAGAGCTAAGTGGACAGCAATACAGTTTCCAGATGCGGGTCAACAGGTTTAATGGCCTTACAGGTTTCCTCCCCACTTTCCCTTACTTTTAAAAACCCCTTTCCCCAGTCTTGGGCGCGCAGTCTTTGGGTTGATCCAGGAGAGACTGTGCCGCCAGGACTGGCTCAATAAAGCCTTTGCCACTTAAGTTTTGGACTCTTGTTTCCATGGACTTTATACCGGGGCCCACGTTACAACAAATATCTCTTAAATGCAGGGTGAAACTTCTTGCTTAAGAAACACATAAAAGCCTCAATATTCAAAGAAAAGGAATCTAAATATCATTACTATGATAGTGAAAAATAATAGAAATATTCAGAAAAGAGATTTTATGAACAAAATCTAGTTATTTCTGCTTTTATGGGGTTTCTACTATTATTAAAAGAGTGGCACTCTTACCTGTCCCGAGGGAGAGCAGTCCATGCCAGACTACGTGATGTTCCAGCTGAAATCTGCTGAATAGCTATGCCGTCTAAGCCACTCACTTTCTTTGGTTTAGTGATAGGACCTGTGGAATTTCCTTGGCCACAGTGTCCCACTGAGTTATTGCCCCAGGCATAAACTTCATTATCTGAACATAAAAATTACAAAAGAAAACATAAATTTAAACATAAGATATATGTCATGGTTTATGTTTGTGTCCCCCAGGCCTCATGAGTTTGCATTGTTCATTTGTGATGGTTCATTGTATAGTGCTTGGATTGATGGTGTCAGTGCTCCACCCACATAGGGGTGGAGCCAGGATGTGATGTAATGGCAGGAAGAAGGTGTGTCTTTCTCTTTGCTGGTTCAAACTTGCTGTCAATGGCTGCCATGAACTGTGGTCCAGCCATGCCCACCTGCCTTGGAGCCAACTGAGTGTGGACTGAAACCTCCAAAAACTGTTAAGAAATAAACCTTTCCTTTCCCAACGTGAGCATCAGGTATTTTGTCTCAGTGACAATCATAAAGTAACTAAGACAGAAATTTGGTACCGAGGAGTGGGGTTGTTTGTTGTGACTATACCTGGCCATGTTTTTCAAGAGGTTTTGGAAATGGCTTGTGGGTGGAGTTTGGAAAGGTTTGGACATGTCGCCTGGATGCATACAGCTGGAGCAGCTTAGGCTGTTCTGTAGAGGAGATTCTGGTCAGAGCTCAGGAGACCAGAAAGCTGATAGGAAGCCTGATGGCAAAGACCAGGCTTGGGAGGTTTCTGCTGGGAAGGACTGCATTGGTTGTTGGACTCCACATGATGTGTGTTATGGCTTAGCAGAAAGTTTGTCTGGATTTTGCTCCTGCCCAGAGACTTTGCCTGAGACTGAGACAAAGGGCAATGGACTGATTAATCTTGAAAAAGAAATTAAAAAGCAACCAAATGTTGAGGCTGTGGCATGGCTATTGTTGGCAGCTTTTAGCCAGCTATATGTTTCAAATCAAGAGCAAAGAGCCCGGCAGGATAATTTACAATGCCATGAGTTTGGCCAGAAGGAAAATTCCAGGAAGGCTGTGGATTGTAAAGACAGAGTTGAGATTTTGATTCCTGAGGAGAAACAGAGAGATAAGAAAGATGGCCCTGGGGCATCCCAGGAAGCAGGTCCCTACCCTGTGCAGCCTCACAGCAAAGATGAAAATTTTTGCTCAGAGGAAAAAGCTACAGAGTGCCATGCTCCAGAATGGCGACAGAGGCCACGTGAGGTTCCAGAATGGCGGCGACAAAGAGAAGCTTTTCATCACAATCAGGTAAACAGAGCCCTGCGATCCAGGCAACTGACCCCTACAGCCAAGAGAGAGAAAAGCCTGGCTACTGCTTCAGCTAGCAGCAAACCTTGGCGGCATCCACAAGGTGCTGATTTTAGGTGCAAGGAAAGTGCACGAATTCTGAGGGTAAGACAGCTTCCACCTCGATTGCAAAGGGCCTGGGAGGCCAAGCAGTGTGCCCCTGAGAGGGCAATTTGTGAAGATGTAAAGGTGAAGCCGAAGGTGCAGTGGAGACCCCAGAAGTTTGGAAAAACCAGGAATGTGGGTGATCCAAGGGAAGCAGCAAAAAGCGAGCAGAAAGGATTTAAGAGAAAGGCTGCAGGAGTTGAAATCACTGGAAGTGCCCTGGGGGTGGAATCACCCAAGCCTTTTGGAACTTGCAACCAGATTGCTTCAGATGCTGAGTGTAGAACTCTAGGACTTAATGTTTGCCCTGCTGGATGTTGGAATTGCTTTGTTTCAAATGCTTTCTATTCTCCTGTTTGTAACTTTTGGAATGGTAATGTTTATCTTGTGCCTTTGCATTTCAGAAATGTTTAACCTCGTTTCTTTTGTATAGGGGCTTACAGTTAAGAGTTTGTCATAGATCTTGGAGGAGACTTGGGACTTGGACTTTTCAGCAATGTTGAAGCTGTTAGGACTTTGGCAACTCTTGGAGGTGGACTAAATGTCTTTTGTATAAAGGATGTACATGAATCCTGGGGGCTAGGGGTGGAATGTCATAGTTTATGTTTGTGTCCCCCAGGCCTCATGCATTTGCATTATTCATTTGTGATGGTTCATTGTATAGTGCTTGGATTGATGGTGTCAGTGCTCCACCCACATAGGGGTGGAGCCAGGATGTGATGTAATGGCAGGAAGAAGGTGTGTCTTTCTTTTTGCTGATTCAAACTTGCTGTCAATGGCTGCCATGAACTGTGGTCCAGCCATGCCCACCTGCCTTGGAGCCAACTGAGTGTGGACTCCAAAAACTGTAAGAAATAAACCTTTCCTTTCCCAATGTGAGCATCAGGTATTTTGTCTCAGTGACGATCATAAAGTAACTAAGACAATATGTAAGAAAGATAATAGTTAATACTATATTTTTAAAAACAAATGACTTTACCATGAGAAAGAGCCAAACAATGACTGTCTCCAATAGAAATATCAACTATTCGAGTGGCAGCCAGTTCTTCAATTAGCTTGGGTCTCAAAGCAGTGGCCTCTGAAGAACCACAACCTAAACAAACCCCACATCCCCAAGCATAGACCTGAAAAAAAACAAAAATATAATGTACATAAGTTCCTGAGATGATCAGACTGTCAATTTCAGTAGTTTAGGAATATCACTTATTAAACAAAACTGCAGTTCAGTTCTAAATAATGACTTTCAGGTGTTAAATAATTTGATGTTTTAAAGGTGTGATTTATTATGTTGGATTTTGTTTTGTTTCTCACTGACATTCTGCTTTGTGCTGTTTTTAAATGATCACTATGCTGGACAAGGAGCTGGGCTAAAAAGCAAAGCTGGTCATAGAAAAAGAATGAAAAAGCTTCTCAGAGATTCTACTATGGCCACTACCAACTGGTTTATCTTTTAACTACATTTGCCCTATCTTAGCAGCTTTGGAAATATTTTCTGTGTGTATGTGTGTATGTGTGAAATGTTTATTTAAAAGGGTGAGTTTTTTCCCACTCCACTGTATTTTTAGATTTACTTTTATTAGTACATGTCTGCAGTGCAGCATGAGTACATTCCGTGTGTGGAACTGGTGCGTAACACAGAAACTTCTCCTTTACAAGCTTCTCACTCTGCGCAGGACATTGATAGTAGACCAAGCTGTGTTGATATAAAAGATTTTATAAAAATCACAAAACTGATTCTTAGGATGTTTAAAAACCAATTGTTCAAGACATTCTTGACTATCTTTAATTTTTACTAATACTAAAACAACTTACTTTCTGATTCAAGATTGTTGGGGAGAGTGTTGCACGAAATAAAAAGATGAAAGACTGCCAATCCGGCAACCCAAAAGGACCAAAATCAAAACAGCAAACAGTACTTTTTTCCTTGAGTACCAAAACCCTTTGGTGGGTTTTGTTAAGATCATATAGACTCTTATCTTATGCTACAAAGGTTAGGTTACTTGTTTGCTTGGGGGAAGCTTTTTGGAGGAAGCTTCCCATTATTTTAAAAGACCACTGCTGAGAATTTAAATGTCTTCAACAAAACAGAAAAGCTGTACACATAATAGTTTCCACAGAATTTACTTAAAGCAAGTACAGAAAACAATATACAAAATCCCCGTACAGTAAATGCCTGTTTTAGGACAGGTTAAGCTCTAAGGACAAGGGCCGGTCTGGTGGTGCACATCTAGAATCTCAGCACTCCGGAGGCTAAGGCAGCAGGACTGCTATGAGTTTGAGGCCAACACAAGCTACACAGTGAGTTGAAGGACAGCCTAAACAGCAAGACCTCATCTCACAAAACAAGACAAAACACGAACTATAGAAAAGGGAGTTGGACGTGGTGATGCACACCTGATCCCAGGATTCAGGAAGCTGACACAAGATGATCACTACTAATTCGAGGCCAGCCTGGGCTAAAAAGTGAATTCATGGTCAGCCTAAACTACATAGCAATGCCCTGTCTCAAACCCCCCCCCAAAGGGAACTAAAGACAAGGAAGTAGTATAATATATAGTCAAAATCACCACTAAAAATTTAAGTCACTCATAAAGTAGTGTTACGGCTTGTACCTACATGTCTCTCAAAGCCTCATATACTCGAAGATGAGGCTTTTTGGAGGCAGCTGGATCTAGGGTAGAATATGGGCACTGATAACTGAATTAGCTAGCTCACTGATTGGAAGTAGCATAACTCTGGTTGTGGCTGAACAGATTTATTTACTGAAGACAGAATACCTATCCAGGGTGTGGATGGCACCAACCAATAGGCTTCTAGCCTGGATGGAATATAAAGAGAAAGGAGAGCTCACTGCTTCACCACTTTCAGCATGCCTTGCTATGGACTATTCTCTGCCAGGCAACTCTAAACTAAACCTCTATAATCTGTGCGCTAATCTTCATTTAACTTGTGGATAGCAGGTCTTTTGTCACAGTAATGAAAGAGTACTGTCCCTCAGCAAGTTCCTTAAATTCTCTCATACAGTGTTCCTTTAGTTTAGAACTAGTGAAGAACACTTGGCTTAGCCAAGCATGACTGCACATATCTGAAAACCACATTTAAAAAGGGCTAGAGACGTAATGCCATGTAGAGGCCTTGGATTTGAATCCACTACCTGCCCCCCAAAGTCTTGCATTTAGGAATCAGGTTAGGCAGTTTAGAAAAAAATACATGCAAAAAATGAGGCGGGCAGGCAGGCAGTACTAGGAACTGAACCCAGGACCTCATACTACTTAAGTAGCTCAACCACTGAGCTACAGTCCCAACCCTTTTAATTTTGAGACAGCGGTTCAAGAAGTTGCCCGGGCTGGCCTTGTGACCCTCCTGCTTCAGTTTGTCATGTAGCTGGAACTACAGGCCTGAGTCTATTATGCCTGGCTCATGCCCCATCTTGTAACACAGCAATGATACTTTGCACAGGGGGAAGTTAGCATCACAGATGCCTGAGGGAACTGAGTGGGACTGAGAGAAAAGCAAATGCTAACCTTCCCCTCATGCTCAACAAGTTTAATGGTAAACAAAATGACTCATCATTCCAAAGTGCTGCTTGCTCTCATTTTCTTTTTGTAATATACATTTGATTTATTATAACTCAAGATGTATGTACTCAAGATACAACTATTCCATACCGCAAATAAAGTACAAGTTACCTTGAAGTTTAATGTATTATTTACATTTATTGTGTATTATTTACCAACTAATGGTTAAATAGTACTTGATAATTTCTGGAAATTTCAATTCGAATAATCATTTTACATGATCATTTGCAACAAAGTAGAAATTATTTCCCCTTTCATAAAAAAGGAGCCTTTCATGGTCAAGTGAGGTCTGAAATTTACCCATAGCAATATAGCAAATAAGTGAATACCTTTGACTTCAATTCATGGATTCTTATCATAAAAGTCACAGTAAGAAACATGCAAAAGAAAAACAGGCTAAAGTAATTAAATACAAGACAATGACTAGTTTGAGGCAAATTTTTTAGGATACAAGGCATTCCAGGCTCTCAAAAATTACACGCCAATTTCAGTTTTGCTGATTGTCTGCTCTATGATTTGTAAGAAAACATTTTTATTTCTCTGCCTGACATATAACAGGCTCCTACTTTCGGGAAGGTAACTGATGGGCTCACATTTTCACTGCCGTCACTGATGGGAGGATACTGTCTGTCTGTTACCTTTCCCGGTCCCTCCTTATCACAAACAGAGGAAGAGTCCATACATACATGAAAAGTTCAAAAACTTTAGACAACATACAATTCTGACTTGCCTAACTTTGACTAACCTAGTTTCTCAGAAATACCTAATCTTCCCAGATTATTTTCACATGGAAATATTCTTTTTACCCTCTTATCACCTTGAAGTTTTAGTTCACATCACTGATTCCATCAAGATTTGTGGTTGCTTTCTTCCCCTATCTATGATTTTTGGGAAAGGCTTAAGGAGAGCTGCGTACTACATGATTTTACAAAAACAGCTTAACAGAAAGAACAGGGGCATGAAGATATAGCCTAGCAAGTAGGAGGCCCTGGATTCAATCTTGGAGAGGGGGGACAGGAGGGTTTTAGGAAAATTTATCTAGATTACACAGGCCACTTCAGAAAACCTGATTCCTTCTCAGATACTTCAAATATTATTTTTAAATACTATATTTCAGTATGCTGCCTAAAAATATATTTCTTTTAATTTCAAATTTTAAATATAATTGCTATCATGGCCTTTGAAATATTATAGTTCTTTTTCAGTCATCCTTTAGTCCTACCTGCCCTGTGGATGTCAAAGCAAGTGAAGACTGGCTCCCAGCACAAACTTTGCGAATGAACATTCCTTGTAAAGCTTCAATAACTTTAGGTTTATACACTCTGTTGGTGTCACCATGGCCAAGCTTACCTATAAAAAACAAACATATTTTCAAGGTAAGCATTTTACTTATTCTAAAGACCTCATATTCTTTTATAAATATTAAAGTTGACAAAGTGCTCTAATCTTTTCATCACTTATCTGACAGATGCAGAAAACTGACAACAAAGCTTATTAACAAATGAGCATTTTTGTTACAAGAAAGTTACCAACCAGCTACTAATCACTTTCTGTATCTTAACCTCATGCAATTAGAATCATTTTAAAGAGATATGGAAAAGTATTTTTTTTCTTTCTCCCCCTTTAATGGCCATATCTCTTAACTTCAACAATACACAGGTTCTTGTTGGATGCAGTGGTGCACAGCTGTAATCTCAGCACTTGAAAGGCTGAGGCAGCAGGATCTTCACAAGTATGGTAGAGGTCAGCCTGGGCTACATAGTAAATTCCAGGCCAGCCTGAACTACACAGTGAGACACTGCCTCAAAAACAAATAAACAACAACAAAAAGCTAACACCTAGCTTCTAGACAAAAATATGTATTCATGTAATTTTTTAAAACTACAAGTTATTTTCAATATAAACTTTTTAGAATTATCTTTAGTGTGTGTGGTACTGAGGATTAAATCCAAGGCCTTCACACTGAGCTAGACCCCAGCTCTTTTTCTGAATTTTGTTTTTTATTTTGAAACAAAAACTCATGAAGAAGCCAGGAATGGTGGTGCACACCTATAATCCCAGCATTCAGAAGGCTGACACTGAAGAATCATTGCAAATTCAGGATACTAAGTTCGTTCAAGGCTAGTGGGACCCTGTCTCAAAAAAGATCTTATGAAGTTACCAAATTGTCCAAACTAGGCTCAAATTTGTATTTCTCCCACCTCACCTCTCAGAATGCTTGGATTACAGACAAAACTTTCCACATTCAGTTAAATTGTCTTACTTTTCGTATCTACACTGTTGAGGAATACAAGCAGTTGAGCATTCACACTGCTAGTGGAAGTGACTAATTAAAGTGAGCAATGGTTGAGGGATACAAGCAGTTGAGCATTCACACTGCTAGTGGAAGTGACTAATTAAAGTGAGCAATGGTTTAGTCATTCATTGCAATGCTTTAATACTGAAAAACTACAAACCATCTAGGTACTCGACAATTGGAAAGTGGTTTATAAATCATACTGAAGACATGAAAATATTGAGCCTTTTACAAACTGTTAATAGGACATTGGTTGATATAGAAAAGATACTCATAAAAAAGTCTCATTTGAGCTGGGGATTTAGTTCAGCAGCACAAGCGCCTGCAAGCACATGGTCATGAGTTCGATCCCAGATACTGATAAAAAAAAGTCTCATTAAATCTAACAGGTTATAAAATATCTATGAAAATACACATGTCTTCTTTAGCTTTTAAATACATCAATAGACACATACATATAAATATTTCTGTGTGTGTGTTTGTATATGTAGATATATAGAGAGAGATATTCAAGTCTACCTACCAAATGTTAACAATAGTTAAGACAATATTGGTAGGAGTAGAGTTTAATTTTTATTTCTGTTCATGTGGAGTTTTTCTATACCACAAACATGTCACTGAAAAATAAATCTTTTTTTTTTAAATAAATCTTCTAAAAAGTCAAGAAGGCCAAAGCAACTGATAAATAATTTTTTTACATACCATTGTCTCCTCCTCCAAAAGACCACACAGTTCTTCCATCTTTAGACAGAGCAATAGTATGTGAACTGCCACAAGAAACCTCTCCAACATTGCTAATGTCTTTTACTAACGTTGGAATGTTTCGGCTATTGCTATCACCATGACCTTAGATGAAAAACACAATGAAGAAGCAGTGTTAACTCCTTTTCTATAGGCAATCGTTGCACAAGTAGAACAAACATCACAAGTTATTTTGAAGTGCATTTAAATATGACAAGTGGAATCGTTCCTAGTATCTTCTTAATCAGTCATTCAGTAGAACGACTGGGGCATCCAGACACCAGTGAAGCATCTGACATTCTATTAATGGTGCTAGAATCATGCTTGTACCAACTTGTTTCCATGATCTAGTAGATTAAAACATCGTATCATGATGGTATGTTTTTATTCCTAAAGCTGTACAGTGCCTGGCCATAATATAAGGTCTACGTTAAAAACTTACTAGATTTAATTACATTTTACATAACAGCATGAGCCTGTAGGTATAAAAACTATATGCCCCTGAGCTTAAAATTAACATAATAAATGGTCTATATATCTATTCTCACAGCTTCTCAGTAACTCTAATCATTTTTATTTTCTGTAAGAATAACTTTAATTTTTTAAAAAACTTACCTAATCTTCCAAAGTCCCCTTCACCCCATGTATATAATTCACCATCCTCTGCAACAGCAGCACTGTGCCGGTATCCAGCTGACACACGAACAACTACCTGCATGACACACACAGGAATTTAAAGAGCACAGATACTAAAACACACAGTCTGTACACTTCAAAGATACTAATATTCTACTAAGACTTCAAGATACTAATATTCACAGCACTTTCAGAAAACATTCTAATATGGAAACTACACTCAGGACAAGACATGGGTGTCCTGATTACTTGTAAGATAGTCAAGGAAATGTCTGTGTTCTACTTGCCAAGCAACAAACCTTGGCTTCTACCCATGTGAGAGAACTTTTCTCAGTTTATATAAAGGCACTGCAAGGGCTGGCAGGATCTCTAAAGGTATCAGTCTAAATACTTGTAGAAATACCAAACGTATCTTGGCTTAGAGTGGAAAGATCACAGTCCTTTCAGGACAATAATAAACTCCATTCCCAATACTGAGGACTGAACCCAAGGATGTTCTACCATGGAGTGACATCCCCAGCTCCTTTTATACTTTGAGACATGTTCTCATTAAGTTGCCCAGGCTCATCTGGAACTTGTGACCCTACTGCCTCAGGGTCCTAAATAGCTAGGATTACAGGCACACTCCACAGTCCCTGGTTAACAATTTTTACATATATAGTTAGCACAAAATATCTAGATCTAGCTGATCAAGAAAATCTCATTGTGGGGCCGGGGATTTAGCTCAGCAGCATAAGTGCCTGCCTGGCAAGCATGAGGTCATGAGTTCAATTTCCGGTACAAAAGAAAATTATTATAAACTGGGTGTGGTGGCACATTGTAATTACCCTGACAATCAAGAGGCTGAGGCAATAGGATCACAATGAGTCCAAAACCAGCCTCAATACACAATGAGTTTCTGAACTACACAAGACCCTGTCTCAAAAACAAAACATTATATAAAAGATCTCTTATTACATAATAAAGAGATTGATTATTACCAATTTAGAAAACTCAAAAGCAATATATAGGCATCTATTAATTAGGGGGTAAAGAATCAAGGGGGTAAAGATGTACAGTACATCAATATAACGCAGGTATCACTCATACCTTCTAACACCGATAGAAATCATAGCAACCAAAAATATGAAAAAAATAACTGCACTAAAAGCTCCATATCTATTTAATCTCCAAAGATTAAACCACACTGTAGGAAACTAAATATGAGATTAAATTAAAAATATTCAGCACTAGGCAGGGAAGGGAGGTGGTGGTGGCACTGTAATCCTTGCACTTGAGAGGCTAATGCAGGAGGATCAATGTAAGCTTGAGGTCAGCCTGAGCTGCTACTGAGTTCAAAGCCACTCTGAACAGCAGAGGAAAACTCTGTCTCAAAAAAAATCAGCATCTAATAAATTAAATAGATACTAAAAACTTGTGAAATGTTTCTCAATTTAAAATTGTATGATATTTTTCCTTTTCATATTTGTACTATTATTTGTTTTGTGGTATTGGCTATTGTATTCAAAGCTTCACACAGAGGCTTGGCAAGCCCAAACACCTGAGCTATACCTTCAACAACCCCCCACCTTGTTTTATCTACAGAGTCTGAGTTTCTCAGAGTGGCCTAACACTTGGAATCCTCCTGCCTCAGCCTCCCATTAGCCAATAGTACAGGCATACACCACCACATCCCACACTATTTTTTTTCTTTGTTTTTTAATTTTATTTTGAAAGTAGTAAAATACAACAGATCAAGACAGAATAAAGCCAACTAAAATCGTACAGTGCAATTGGTACAGAACTTCTCAGCAGGTTACTGGGATAACAGTAATAAGTATCACAGTATATTTCATTATCTTTAAAATAGTTGTTCTTTCAACCGCAGATATCAAAATAAAATGAAATACAGAATATTACAGAACTTATCAAAACAGAATATTGAATAGAGCAGTACCATTAATCAGAATAGAGCAAAACAGTTATAAAAATATTTGCCTTCAAAGAGATGGTAGAAGGAAATCCCCCTTATTTGCTATGGTCAATCTCCCAGGTGATGCTCAGATTTCTGGTTCCCATTTGCTAATGGGGGGATAGAAGAAGCGGGGTAAGGAAAGTGGGATATTTGACTGTAGACCGTGCACCAGTAGCTTTACTACTGCTTAGCAGGAAGTCAGGCTGGTTGCTTCGCAAGTTCCAACATAGTGTGGATCTCAGAAGACACTGGTGGTTCTCCCCGTGAAGGGGCTGTAGAGTGCCACACCACTGCTGGTTACCAGGGAGGGGAGCTGCTTGCTTGGTTTCCCAGGGTCCTAAGTTCCAACATGGTACAGATCTCAGGAGACACTGGTGATTCTCCCCCTGGAAGGGCCGGCCACACCACCACCGCTTACCAGGGAAGGGAGCTGCTTGCTTGGTCTCCCAAGGTCCTAAGTTCCAACATGGCACGAATCTCAGGAGACACTGGTGGTTCTCCCCCTGGAAGGGCTGCAGTCTGCCACACTACAGCCACTTACCAGGGAGGGGAGATGCTTGCTTGGCTTCCCAGCATCCTAAGTTCCAACATGGCGCAGATCTCAGAACAGAATTGATTTGAATGATGGTTTTCTCTATCTCCCTGGTTAACAACGTTACTCACAACAGCCTCCAGCCTCTGTTAATCTCACTTACTTGTTTAACAATTGGACCTTACATTATAAATGAATTAGTAAATTATGGCAAAGATCAGGTTCATAAAACTCATGATTTTAAAGACACAAGTTTATGAACAGATAGTTCTGCTTGAAAACTCCATGAGCCAATCATTTGGATCATTGACAAAAATCAGTGGGGAATGTTATGCTCTATGCTTACCACCCTAGTAACCATGTACCCAGAGCACCGACCACATTGTTATAAGTTAGTTATAAATTAACTGAGGTGTGTTATACTGTTCTGTATGCATCACCACCTTAGTAACCTGTTTGCTGTGTCAACCATTGTTCCCTTTGTGAAGAGACAAATGATGATGTGTCAACCTTTGTTCACCAAGGGCTGTAACTTAAGAAAAAATAAAAAGGCCTACTACCAACTGCGAAACATCCCTGACTTCAATCAAAGGGAAACAAAGGCCTTCCTAATTCCTGCTCTGTCAGGTCACTCAGTTATTGTGCTATAAAAATCTGTCAAAATTCTGATTTAGTTGCACAGCTTTGCAAACTCCATCTTCTCTATGCCGCTGGGTACCAGCTTAAATAAAGCGCTCTCTTACAGACGTCTTGCCCTGCCCCCCTTGACAGCAAACAGCATCATGGGGGTACAACACTGACCACCTCCCTAGAGCTGCTGCCCCACGCCTGTGTCCTGTTGTACTTGCCCCACAGGTCCTCACACACCTTTATGGGATTAATTACTGGTAGGTCACCCTGATTGGCAGGGCCAGGCTCCCTCTCTGTAATCTCTAAATGGCATCTGGGGAACACGACTCTCTCCCCTGTCCCTCTAGCTCCAGACACGGGGATCCAAGGGCTCTCAGGGCCACCAGGATGCCCTTACTGCACTCCCAGGGCAAGGAGACCAAATTCACAGTGTGTATGGGCGAAGGCCTGAGCCCAGAATCCAGGGGAAGACAGAAGATGAGGCTTGACAGGGTGGCATTAGGGTCAAATGAAATCCACTCTCGTTAACCATTACCATCACTTCTTAAAGGAGTCTTCATACTAAGTAGGAAGCTTTTCCAGGAAAACCACTCTCCTCTCACCTAGAAAATATCATTTGGTAAAACTTATTTTTTCAGACTGATGTAACTTTCAGGAGATGCCTGTGTGATGTCCAGTGCTTGGGACCCACTTGCATGGGTCATCATGCATGCGCACATGCACGCGCCTGCACCTGTGAAGTGGGCTTAACATGAGAGAGCTGCGGCGCAAGGTCACAGTCCGTCTGGGGTCCGGCTTGATAGCGCCCAGGCCAAGCCTGAGCTCAGGATCCCTGATGGTCCCGCTTGCTGGGCTGGCTGGGCTAGAGGTGGTGTGGAGCGGAGCGGGGAACCCCACCCCACCCCCCACGCCCACTGAGCGCCCTTGTGGGTGGCCGAGGACTCCCTGCCACAGGCATGGGTGCTGCTGGTTTAGGGGTGTTGGCAGTTTCCTAGGAGACCCTGGGATCTTGGGTGCCTCCGAAACAGGCTGCAGGAGGGAGGCCCCGAAACGCAGGCTGGCACAGGGGCGAATCACCAAAGGGTCAGGGAACCCCAGACCACGTGCGCCCCTTCCCCTTGTACCCACTGGTGCGCGCTAGACAGCTCAGAGTGGGCACGCTCCTGGTGGCCCGGGGACACGTGGAGCCCAGCATGTTGGAGGCCATGCAGAGGCCACCCCCTGGGCCGGAGCAGCCACTGTGCTTAGAAATGCCTCGCCCTGGCACCTAGGCCGTGCCAAGCTGACTGTCACCGCACGACCCAGGTGGGTCTCCCAGCCCCGCGCTGCTGCAGCGGGCCTCCCCTGGCCCGCACCCCTGACCCACGCTGCTTTCACCCAGGGCCCCGCGTGCTGCACCTGGCTGCAGCAGCCTCGGCCTCACTGCCCCCAGGCTCTGCACCCCCTAGGGGCGCCTGCACCGACCACACCAGACCCCGGCTCCCTGTCCTACTCCCCGACCCTGCGACCTGGCTCCCCAGCCCCACGGCAGCGTTGGAACCCCGTTCACGCTCCCAGCCTCCTCTGCCCCTCTGCAGCCCCCCAGGCACTGGTGGATCTCCGCCAACCCACACTATTGTTTTTTTTTTAATTTTATTTAAGGAGAAAAAAAAAGCAGAGAAAGGGTACAAGTTATACAGATTTACAGAAAAAAATAAACATTAGGAAATCACTAGTTAATGGATTACATATTGTCATCTTAGAAATAATTGTTCAAGTCACAAAATTAAAGCTTGTAAAGTGAACATTCCAACAATGATACTGCAAACAGTTCTGTTCAATGATCCAACAAAACTCAGTGATATCATTATCTATCTTATACACTTATATATACATGCAGTTATATCGTTTAGAGCACTTTCTTTTCCTCTCTTTTGTACAATGACAATTATCCATTTTGGGTTTTGTTGCTCCCACAGTT